ACTCGACGCGCTCGATCATCTCCTCTCTGAGTCTATTAATATCTTCTCGGGAAGCCGAGGCCTGCTGCTGGTCGCTGGACATCGCGCTCGCGTCGCTATTGACCGATGCTGTATCGCTAGTATTCTCAGACCGATGTTCCCCCCTACTACGCAACAAATACGGCGATGACTTAACGGGTGATCTCTCAATGCCCATGTAAAAAGGCTTAAATGCAATACGGCGATCAAAAACGTGGAGAAAAAAATCCAAAAGAAAATAACAGCCTAATCAAATCTTAGAGTCGCACGCATCAGTCAAACTCGAAAAAACTCACTCTCAATTCAAAAGCCACAGTGCCGCGGCAAGGCAGGGGTCGAAAATTTACTTGCGATATACAAGTTCAAACGCGGGGACACGAGACAGCTGCGCGACGATAACGACGGTGTCGTGAGTACACGTGCACCGACGGTATACAAACTTTCAATGTAATCGTTAAATGAACACGGAACGCTCGCCAAAATCCAACGCGTACACCGAACTCCAAAACAAAGGCTCGATTAGCCGCACACCGTACAACACACAAACGCGTACATTACATCATACATAAATACACTCGGCCACGCAAGCTCGCTCCTGGGTGACTTGCTTTGTTTATCTTTCATATGAGAATACCTGAGCGCGGTCGAAATCCAAAATTTAAACTAAACAATCTAATTAAAAATAAATGAATAAATCGTCATCAAGAACGATCCGCTGCGTACGAATCGTTACGGTGTTGGCGACGACTCGCTATGAAGTCAAAACTTCGAGGTGCGAGAAGCTGCACCGAACTAACGCATGCAGCAGGTCAAAGCTTAAAAACTGATAAAAAATAAATAGCAGACCAGCTCAAGTATCTCTTCTTTTGGCGCGGGCCAAACCAAGTGTTTGCGATAAGATTGTACACAAAATTCTTACGACTTAATCGAAGTTGATCGCAGCAACGCGCCGGCAGGCTCGGACGCAATCAGCAGGAGCAGACGCGCCTCGACGAACAGGTGGGAGAGAGAGAGCTCCGAAATCCGTTGATGGTGGTAGCAGTGACGGCGATGCGCGAAAAATCGGCGCGGCCCGCCGAGTCGCTGGTAGCCGATGACGTTGCAAGACGAAGCTCGACGACGATGAAATGGCCGCCAAAAATCCGCTCGCCCAACGAATTTCCGTTGCGAGATGTGTTGACGCAAAACGGAGCGAGCCGCAGCAAGATGGCCGGAGCGCGGCTGTCTCGCTCGTCGAAAAGCTGGTGCGCCGCGTACGTGGCCGTAAAGTGCCAAGATGGCTGCCAAAAAACTCCAAACGTATAAATACGTTACTGCCGGAACGGCGATTGATGAAAAATGGCGATTGGTTGGCTGCGTAATTAGATGATGATTACGCGCTGCAGAGCGGCAGGAAAAGCGGCGTCTAGGTAGAAAACCCGATGTCGTGAATGTGGTATCGGTATTCTCGATCCCGCTGAGATCTCGCCTTGCGCCACGGCGAGAGAAAATTCTTAAGCCCGGTAGATGCCAAGAAAAATACCTTCTGTTTTTCGCTGGCTAGCCTGCTGCCGTTGCTGCTTACGCCCTGGGGGTCGCGATCCTCCTTGACGAAGCGCTGCTGTGCTTGATGAAGATGCTGGTACTCACTCGCTCCGGCGATGTGTTCGTATCTCGGTCAGGTCGTCCTATGGTGGTGGTTTACCAAACGCTTCGATGCTGCTACCCGGGAAGCTGCGGCACGATGAGTCTCGATGACGACGATGACCGGTGTTGTTAATGAAGCTAAGATGTTGAGAGCTTCTTCTTGTCGGAGGTCACCAATGTAGATATTTATTTGTAGCCGCCAGGTCGGGCTATCTAGCGGTCCCGAAGAGGCGGTTGCCGGAGTGAAGGTTTGAGGTGAAGAAGAGTAAAAGGCACAGTTACAACGGTTAAGCTTTATTGTTGGGCTTTCGGAGTCGCTGGTAAGCGACTGTGTGTGGCGCCGGCTAAATACGATCTAACGCTCTTACTGTGTGAGCTGTGCGCGCAGGCACAAGGCTGGCTTTCAAATAAGGCGCGTACGTTCATACATGTATCGTGACGTCGCCTGACGTATCTATGAGTGCTTATGCCTACATATACAGATATAAAAAAAAACAATAGTCCATTGTAAAAAATGAAAATGTATAAAAAAAGCTAAAAGTTCAAATAATCCAGTACGCGCGGAAAACATTCTGGGAAATTTCCAATTTAGGAGGATCAAGTTCAGGTCACAAATTTTTCTAAAGTATGTGAATAAAGGAAGGTAACATGATAATTTCAGATCATTTGGTTAATAGTCCATTTTTTAAGAAGCTATCGAAAATTTATTTTATTCGCAGTACGTTTTTTGACTCAAGAGTAAAATCGATTTTCAAACGTGCGATACAAAAAGGACGGGCCACCCAAACGCTCAAAAATAAAAGTGTAGATCTCTCAAGTCTTCTTAAAGACCCTGATAAAATTTCAGAACTGTGCATGGTAAATTACCTGACTTACACATCAGTACGTGCAATTTTAAAAGTTAGTCAGAAACACTCATATGTATTATACGCAACACAGCCTGGTGGTGATTTATTAAGAAAAAGCTCTTGAAATTTCTTTACCATCTGCACTCGTTGCGAGTCTCGAACTTTTTTTTGCCTTTGCTCCAGCCTTTTTATTTGACAATAATCTTTGATACCAAACAATTATAGCATCTGTCAAGAAGTTTGTCTTTGTGGATTTTCTTGGCTTTTTTTCTTTTTCTAATCGTATTCGATAAATTATGTTTGTATCGTTACAAGGAACTCGTACTATAATTTGTTCGACAAGAAGCACTGTAATGACTGTTCACGACTACATTGTTTACAATTAAGTTTAAAATCAATCTGTTTGTATATTGTCTGCACATCTTTGAACTTTGTCAACACTTTGGCTTGGCGATTACTCGAGCAATTTTTCAGCCTCATAAAACCAAGTACTTGAAATAAGTTCACACATGTTTTTCAGTCAGTCAAACCGATGGTTAAAGCAAACGTACAAAGAGTATAGTTCCTCGTTGTTTTGCGATATTCATAGGAAAAAGTAGGTTCATTACGTTTGAATATTTGGCTTTTTCATCGAAATAATGAAGGAAAAAAAGTGAAACACCCTTAACCGGCGTGTTTTTAATCTGTATTCAATCTCATACCCCAACTAATGTGTAATACAATGCATCCAAACATAGCTTCCAAACATGGCATAGCATTTCTTCGCCGCTCGAGGCTCATTACGTATAGATGCTATATATATAGCGCGTATTTACGAGTGCATATTTACCAAACACAATCTGTGCATCGGTTGCATCGACAACGATGCTTTTACGCAGTATTATTGCAAAAATCGAGCAGTCTCTTTCTCTACATTGGGATGGAGGAGCACTTTGATACTAATTTTGTAAAAAAATCTGAAGGGCTCGACGCTAAATTTCCTCGCACCGATTTGAGTTTTATTGATAATGTGTAGTCATAAAAACGATTCCTCCGCTAGGTACTCGAGTTCATTGAACCTATTTTGGCTAAAGCATTTAGTCGATGTAACGATTATCGGCATATGATCGTCGCGAAATCGCTCTAGTTAATCGCGAGATGGATTACGCAGCAAGACTACAATACCTTCCCGGCTGTTTATACGAATCGAGCCCTCGCACTCGTCGAGCAAACTATTTCATACGAAGCACGACGATCTTAAGGTGGCTTATCGGTAAAACTAAACGGGTCGACAACAGATGATTATAGAACTTGGCGGAAATGTCATTTACAGTGCCCGCGATGTGTTGTCAAAATTTCAGCATGGGTTAGCGTACTAATTTTTTAGAACGAAGCCGTTGAAAAAAGATCAAATTTAATATGGGCTCTTATCGACAGATCTTAACCAGAAACGTATATGTGTTATGCTTCAAGTCACTATACCTTTCGATTGGTATGTTAAAAATGACTCCTTACCGTACTAACTAATGAGTAATTAAACAAAATGTGCGTAAAATCATTGATTTCGAATAGTGCGAGCGGTTGCCTCGCTATACTATTGTTATTATTGCTGACGAGAAAGCTTATGAAAGTAGCGAAGTGCCATGTGCTTCAGCTGTTGGTTACGGGCGTTAGCGCAGCTGGTCGCTTTCTCATGTTAATTCTCTTAAGTTGGCTCGTCAGCAATCATAATAATAGTACAGCGAGGCATCTGTCTGTCTCTTTCTCGCATTAGGCAGACAACCGCTCGCACTATTCGAAATCAATGATTTTGTTTAATTACTCATTAGTTAGTTCGATAAGGGGTAATTTTTAAGGAAAGGTAGTGACTCGAAGCATAACATACTCGTTTTTGGTTAAGATCTGTAGTTTAATAAAAAAAGTGATGGCGTAAAATGTATGAAATTATGGTGGCCTCCCGTAAGAGCCCGTGTTAAATTTGCTATTTTTAAAGGCTTCGTTCTCAAAAATTAGTTCGATAACCCATGCTGAAATTTCTACAGCATATCAAGGGAACTTTAAATGACATTTCTGCAGTTTCATAAACATGTGTTGTCAATTCCCGTTTTACTGATGAGCCACCTTAAGATAAAATGTATAGTTCAGGCAGCCGAACTACATTTTATCTTTTTTTCCGGGCGTACGAAATCTATACTGTTATTCACGAACTACGACTTGGCTCTCTCTGTCTCTGTCTCTCTCAATGATTCGGCCGTGTGTTTTTTTTACTCTCTGACTGTGGAGATCAGTATACGTTCGAACGCGGCAGTGTGAACATCGAGAAATAGCGATTGCTCCTGAAGTGACTTTTGTGTAAAAAAGAAATATATTTTGTTGTATCGCGAGTTAACTAATAATCGTGTGCGAGTGTGAACAACGGCCGAGCACATTGTTTGGGAGACTTTCCACTATCTCGGCAAATTAGCCAGTCACTACCCGGTGAAAAAGTGCCTCGAGCTCGGCCAGGATCCCAATCACCCACAGAGAGAAATGGGCGACTCGCCGCTACTCTTGGCTTCGTCGATCCTTGGCAATGACGACGAAGTCGGACGAGCGATCGAGCGGCTGCTGAGAAGCGGCGCCGATCCGAACCAAGCAAATCGGGAGGGAAGGACGCCTCTGCACAAGTTGTGCGAGTTCCGTATACCCGAACATGTTGGCTTGATCGAGAGGTTCTTGTCGGTCTGCGATGAAGTCGGGCAGCAGGTGAACATCGACGCCCGGGACAATGAGGGTCGGACACCGCTGCACGTGGCTATGCAGCAGTGTCGACAGGATGTGGTCGGATTGCTGCTGAGTCATGGGGCCGATCCAAATGCTCGCGATGCGAAGGGAAAGACTCCGTTGCATTTGACATTTGCCTGGAGTGAAAACAAGGCCTTTAAAACTATGCTGAGAGGCGGCGCAGATCCGAATCTGGCCGACGAGGATGGAAGCACCCCTCTTCACCTTATCTGCCAAAGAGACCACAAAGATGAACTCGTCGGGATTTTGTTTGAGATTTGTGATGAAAGGCAGCTGACGGTCCAGGTCAATGCCGGAGACAAGAAGGGGAAGACAGCGTTGCACTGGGCCCTGGAGAATATATTGCCAAACACCGTCGATGTGCTCTTGAGTCGTGGCGCAGATATGTCCAACTGCACTTTCCAAACACACGATTTGATTCTCCGAGACGATCCACGTTGTTCCTTGGAAGTGAGTTTAGCGGCTGGTACCCTGGCCATCGCCGAACATCTCGAGGCAAGAGGATATGATTTCAATCGAAGCGAAGCCTTGAAAATCATGAACTTTTTCGTCGAACAGAGATTGTTCAAAAACCCGTCGTCGTATCTTGAAAAAACTCTGCGCAATCAAAAGTTCGTGAGCCAGGCGAAACAGGCAATGGTCGTTCCGAGTCTGTCGCTCTACGATCTCATCCACTTAGGACCCGAAGAGGAGGAAAAGCTACTCACGTATAGGGACTATTTCGTGTTCGCGCGTCGGTTTGATAAATTGATGAAGACTTCAAAAAAGAATGAAGAGAATTGTCTTTTGCATCTGTGCGAAAAACTATCGAGAGGATTTTTTCGACGCTGGGCATTGGATCCTTTCTACGAGTTGATCCACAAACGGCTGCCGATTATCTGTTGCGAGATGGTCCTGAAGAACCTGGACAATCGAGATTTGTGCAATATTTGCTTGGCGGTTGCAGGCCGAACCTCGTCATAACGATAAATGTATTTCCAGTACTTTATTTATGTTCTTGTATTATTCATTGTTCCGTAAAGCTTAACAGAGAACTTTTTTCCAAAAATACTCCATTGTAATATTATTTGATTGTAGATTGAGCAAAAAATAAATTGAACGACTTGAAAAAAGAAAATTGAACCTACGTATCTTTTAGATCCCGCTAATTCAAGATGAAAAAGTAGTTATTATGTATATTCACCAAAGAGCATTTCTTTGCAGTGTAAACGATACTTATTATCTGATTTTATGGCAGTGAAAAGATAACAATTTTAAGTATACAAAAGTAATAATTCGCTTGCTTGTCTTATTCTGGTTTGCAAAGCCAAGTGTATACCAATCTTACAGCGCCTTATTACAACGATTCTGCTGGGATCGAATCAAACAAACCTAAAGTTGGCTAGAGATAACATTCGTCGCGCGGTTGTTAGCCTTGCTAAATAATCCTTGACGACGCGAAGATAACTCGTCAGTTGACATCTTTGAGTTGAATTTAAAAGATAAAATGACGTCAAAAAAAGAGGAGGTATATTTGTTCATACAAATACCTGGCGAAAAAACCGGTGAGAAGGAGACTCGCGAGATTGTAAAAGCTGATGAAGTACGAAAATTTAATTTTGAAGACTCCCAAAAAAATAAAACGATTTTCAAAGCAAAAAAGTTTAAGTTTCGACGCGACAAAATTGAGAAATCTAAGAAATGTTTTGTTATTTTCGCCTCAAGTTAGTATAGAATATTTATATCGATATTACAATTCTTTATGATGCTTGATATCTATCTTGATTATAAAAACGAAACGCAAAATAACCAATTTTCTATATTGTATATGGGCAGAAAACTATGACGAAGTCTTCGAAGCTCAATCTAATAGATATGGAATTCCAACATTGAACACAAGTGTTACAGATGATACTGACGACATAACCGAAATCTCATCGCATTTTTTTAGCAGCGATGAAAGTGGTAAAAAATTGTCCGATAACAATATTACAGATGAAGAGCCTGAAGTTGATGAAATTACGATTAAGAAGAGCAAAGCAAAGCGAAAAAATTTAAAAAAAAAAAAAAAAAAAAAATAGTAACGAGGAAAATGCTCAAAGAAATATTCTAGCTGCTTATTTGAACGCTTTATTGGTAAGTAGGTTTTCTAATCGAAATTTTATTAAATAGGTATTTATTTCAAATGAATTTTCAATATTAAATGTTTTTATTTTATTTAGAATGATGATGAAAATGAAGTACTTGATGATTTGTTTGACTCTAGTTCATCACCAATAACAAGTAATAACAATAAAGATTGTGGAAAAGTTTCAGCGGTAAAGCGTCATGCTGTACGTATACGTATAAATATATTATAAATAAATGTACATCCTTTTTTTTGCATTGTATTTTAAATAAGTACTTGTTTGCGATTAGGAAGCGGATTCACACGTTGAGAATGATAGCGATTTCGAGTCTACCTCAGCGCCAAAGAAAGCTCGCAAACGCTCAAAGAAAAGGAGCGAAGAAATCGTATGTATTTATTTATATCATATTTATGTCATATACTTCGTGTATATCTTAGAGTTATTTTCGTAATTTTTTTATACAGTTTAATAGTAATTTATACCATATTGATATTCTACATTCTATATTTATTCTATATTCTATATTTTATATTCTAATAGGAAAACTGAATTTAATGTTTTTACTTAATCTTTCAGATTTACGCAAAAACTACTGAATCTGCACCCAATTACAAAGAGTTATACGAGGAAATGCGGGCACACTATGAGGCGTTGCGTAAACAAGTCCAGAGAATGAGGGAGGAACACGAAGAATTGATGGAATCTTTATCTTCAGATTATAGTCACCATTCAATACCTCGATACCAACAACAGCCAATGCCTAGTAAGTATTTATAAACATTTTCATAATTGTCTTAAATTATATTGGAGTGTACTTTTTACAGGTTGTCAATTTAACGTTTATAAAACGCATGATAGCATTTATTGCTATGGTCCAAATGCAGAGTATAATTTAGAATACAACGAGAATGGAGATGTCCATTTGGGCAGTAATATATACTGCAATAAAATAGCGTTTCATGACAGTTTTAAGTCAAAATCAGCTGCGAAATGCTTAACAACTTTAACTCAAGGAGTGTACGATTTAAAGGACTTGGCTTCTCGATGTGTCAGAAAACAGAAAAATACAGGCTCGAAAAAGGTTTTGTGCCCAATAAAAAAATTTGTTGTCGAGAAAAACGTTTATGCTTTCATGCGCATGAAGGATAAAACCATAAGTGACATTGACGATTTTTTTGACGACATCAATAGAAGACACCACAATGCCATCACTTGCGCTCAATCCAAATTGGAAACGCATAGAAAATTAAGAGAAATGGAAGAACTCGAGGCTCTTAATGGCCTTATTGCTTAAGACTTCATTCATGTTTTAAAAGTTGCCATGGTTATATTTCATATAATGTTCAGTACAGATGTATTATGAAAAATAAAAATATAAATCTTAATTTATGTACTTAAAAATTACTTCTGTATTTACTACAAGATAAGAGAAAATGTGCGGGAAAATGTTCTGAATTAAGAAGAAATCATTCTTTCCTCCAACTTGCACTAACTTAAAGTAAATCAGTCCTAACTACAGTGGTCGCGGCTTAAAAGAATCGTGTTTAAAAATATCAGCCTGTACTTGAATCAAAAATCTTGGTTCCGATCGGATAGTAGAACTCCACGTATAATTGAATCAAAATCGGTGTTCTGAAGTAATTTTTTAAAGCGACGACCACTACATATTTTATAATTTTAATAATTCAATTTTCTATTAAATTGACCTTTTATGGTAATCAAATTTTTATGATTTCTTTTTGGGGCAGATTTTTTGAAAAAACTTAACGAAAAATGAATTGAATTTACTATCCGTAAAAAACGAAAAATATTGGTAAAAACCTGTAAATATTTGTTTAATAAAGTTAATAAGTTTAAAAGTAAATATTTCGATTTGTCGTCAGCAATTTTTGAAAAGTGAATAGTTGTAAAAAATTGTAAAAAATGGAAAATAACAGTAATTTTCTCATTTTCATAGTCCGAAATGCAGCAATCATAAACTGTATTTAATAGTAATTTTCGATAAATTATCAAAATTTACAATTTTTTATATTTGAGATTTTTATTCGGGCAATTTAAAAATTATTTAAATGAATATGTAAGGACTAAGATAGGTCATTAGAACACAAAAAATAAACATGCCAGCAATGAATTAAATTTTTCTTTTTAATTTATTCGTACAAGCTTTTGGAAATATTTTGGAATAACGCAGTGAAAACTTTACATCAACAAATACTTTTTTACTGTAAAATATCCAACTTAATTCAATTTTAATAAAATTACTAACCAGCCGAAAGCATGAGTTGTTTCATGAAAAGAAAATGTATTTGCTGTTTTACATAAATTCTTATTTTTGTGATAATTTGTACTTAAATTACCATCCTCATTATCCATTTGTATTAAACCTGAAGTATTTGGGTCAGAATTAACATACTAAAATTTACAACATTTTGGATATATTTATCTTTAAATATAGAAATTTCTATTTTACATGGAATTGCTTTAGAGCGAAAAAAATCTTAAATTATATACATTTACAAGTCTTCATAAAATAGAGCAGTCATAAATTTTATTTATGATATTTTACAAAGGTATGTGAATTGTAATAATTTGACACTAATACTCTTTGTAGCTAAGAAAATTGATATAAAATCAAAATTTTTCAAGTACAAGTATTAAAAATATCCAAGTACTAAGGGTTTATTATTTCAATCGCAACCTGCATGCTTCAGATTAAATGTGAGTGCGTTGGAATGGTAATTTAAGTATAATATAGCAAAAAGTTGAGAATTTATCTCAATCAACAAATAAACCAATAAAGTTTCCACTTGTTTAGCTCAATTTGCACCTGATATCCATGCAATTTTTTTAAACTGGGTTTATTAAAATTTAATATGTTAATATTGATCTGTTGCATCTTTGTATTAATATGTTCTATCAAATCTAAGGTAATTGTTGATCAACTTTTATATGAGCAGTACATTAGATCTTGTTGAACATATGAAAGGACATTGACTTTAAATAAAACTATTAGTGTATTACCTGCAAAGTTTAGTAATAAATGTGAATTTGAAATCAAATTAGTATACCAAATGCATAAGAGCAGACCAATTATTCCTGGAACATATTAATTCAAAGCATGCAACAGCAGTTTTTGAATAATTTTTATGTTCAAGTAACTATGTAGATAAATTTACTAAGGGAGAGATTCATTACATTTTTATTTTTTAATAAACGCATAGTGATCTTTTGTTTTTTTTTTGTATTTGATAGCTTCTGGCCTATAACTTTGCATGAAATCATTTATATACAAAGAGTACATCAATTTTAGAATGTTCAAATGCTGTGTACATATCTACAGTAATTCTTGGTGCATTAATTAAGTGTATTGAGAACTTTTTTTCATGAAATGTTTATATTTTTCTAACATGCAGACATTGATGTGACATACTCTTGTGATGGGTGTTTGGCGCATTGACAATTGTTATCACTATCAAATACACAATAAGCACATTGAATGCACTACACCATGAGTGAAATTCTTGTAACAAGGCATTCGTAATAATCTTATTTAAAATGTATTATTTACAATAGATATTATGAATCTCATGAATAATCGAATACTCATGAGATGTTATACAGCTGATGGAGCTTATCTTAAAAAATTTGTTATAATTTTGATACCTAAAATGATAATCATCGAGTGTCTGTGTATGAACTAATGAATAAATCAATCACTTACTGTATCAGTATCTGGTTGAATTAAAATTAGCAGTATGAATCTCGTTGCTCGACTTCGCAGTTGGTAAAAAGGCGATCCTCTACAATTTGTCATCGGTAATGCGGCGCATGCCCATTTAAAGAAGACCACGTTATGCTACAATATATATACTTCACACACACTGCACGCACTCACACAACCAAAGTATACGAATCTTCGAAAAAACTTAGCTCTATTCGCTCGTGCCTCGTTTCTGCTACACAGTCGTTTTCTCTTCTCTCGCACGCACACGTTGCCAGAGAGAATACATACGTGTATCGCTGCTCAAGTGAAAACAACCAAGTCCGAGGCTTTTAATCGACGAGAATATATAAAAAAAATATAATAGCAACGACGATAAAATCATGTCTTTGAACACGGCCCACGCCAACGGCGGCGTGTTGTTACACAATGGAGAGGCGTAAGTACATCCAGACCCTTTTTGTTGATTGATAGTGAACGATTTTTTCTTGTGCGACGCAATCGCAACGTTTAGTGTCCCGCGACGATAACGTAAACAGACGTCGGCTTACTGCGCGATAAGACCGATGCAAAGGATCGACGTTCACGACGAATTGTTTACACGCATATATTAATTATGGCAAAATCGATACGGTTTTTTTATGGTTGGTTGGTTAAGGCTCGTGTGACACATCATCGTCACGTGGGAGATTTCTCTCTCGCTCTCTCTCTCTCTCTCTCTTACTGTACAGAGGGTTGAAGAATTGTTATTAATGCTAGAGTCGAGTGTGACGACGCATCGAATGCAATGGAAAATTCATGACAATTGCGTCATTCAGTGCAATTTAACGAAGCGCAACGCAGCACACACAATGGGAGGTGCAGTTGTATTAGGCCTTATCTCGACCTTGATGAGTTCGGCTCGTTGTTTTACGACTTTTTAGACGTGCGACTAACGCAGACGATGAAATTTAGGTTAGAGAGGTCCTGTCAAAGCTGAGAAACTGTTTTAAAGTTCTTTGTATAAGGCTTTTCCACCTGATGATTCAGACTCGACTAGATCTAGGTTAGAAATGTCCTATGAAAATAAACACTTCTTATGTGACGTATGAGTTGAATGTATCATTCTATGCAAATACTCAATAGATATTAGTCATCTTACATGAGCTACAATAACGTTATGACGTTTCAATGTTTTATTTTAACTATTGCAGAATCCTGCTCTACAGTGACAATGTTACCATCACTTTTCATGGCCAGGAGCAACCGGAGTTTTTGGGAACTAAGAAGGGTCGAATGTTCTTGACGACGCACAGAATGATCTTCAATTCCAAAGATCAGAGAGATAGAATGTTGTCGTTCAGTTTTCCTTTCGGAACTCTGAGAGACATTGAATGCAAACAGCCAGTTTTCTCAGCCAACAGTATCCAGGGCAAATGCAGAGCTCAGCCGAATGGAGGCTGGATAGGCGAATGCAAATTTAAGTTTCACTTTAACAGCGGAGGAGCGATTGAATTTTGTCAAGCTATGATGGCTGCTGCTCAACTTGGTAAGCATACATTTATGATTTAATAATTTCCTTGATTAGGTCTTCATCTAAAACTTACAATTTAAATTATAGCTTCGAGACATGGACCCATGGATGCGAACGATTCTCCACCACCGTACCAACCACCACCGACTAACTGGTATGCAGCTCCACCGCCAGCGTACCAAGCTGCTCCAACTGGCTACTATGGTTGGGTACCACCAACAAATGCTTTTCCAAATCAACCTCCAGGTAATTATATCTCTTTCATTATAAATCTTGTATAAATTCAAGAGGTGATATGTAATATTTAAGAAGTATCTTTAATGTAGCTTTGAATAATTGAACAAAACGCTCTAGTAACATGCCCATTTAATTTTCAAAACAGCTAACTAAATTAAAAAAGATTGAATTTCATGCAATTTTTTTTTAATTTTATTTTACAAACAAGATCTTAAACAGTCTTTACATTTGTCACACAGCTTTGCGGCTAAATTTATTCAATTACATGTTAATGCCATCATATTGCTAATGATTAACGCTTTCTCATGGCCCACTGTTGTTCACAGCAAACAGTGTGTTTATGACTGACATGCCGCCACCCTACCCGGGAATTAACTCGCCATACGCCTCAGCTGCACACGCAGCCCAGCAACATCAACAAATGAACGGAATGGGTATGACGAACGGCAACACATCGGCGAGTCAACCTCAGGCCGGTTCACCGCCCGCTTGGGCCAATCCTAACGTCAATAATCCAAATACGATGTCTCGTGCAGGTTCGTTCGTATATGTTTATAGTCCGACAGAGGCTGAAATCGAAAGTATGCGGCGTAATTCAAAAAAAGAAACAGAAAGTCACACTAATAATCCAGAAAGTTCAATCGATGATTCAAAAAAAGAGACACAGTGTGAAACGAGCAATCCAGAAAATTCTCGTCCTTATTTTGACTTTGCCGAACTTTTGCAGCAAACGATGTTTAGCTCGACCGAAATTAATAATAACGATACAAGAATCGCTTGATTTACTTTGTGTCTTTCCTCAAGCAGGCTCTTTAGCACGCTTTAGTCGGACTCTTAGAATATCGATCATTAAGGACTATGCTTATTAATTTTAGCTATGTGAATTGTAAAATTTTGTCACTGGTTACTAACCAATCATTTTTTTTTTTTTTTTAATATTTTTTATGTAAACATCTCTTGTAGGAATTATTTTTCATTTGTATATGTAACATTTTCTTCATTTATTATGTTTTAAAATACACAAATAATGTTCTATGATGTTTTTCATGTAGATAGTCTATAGTAATAATCACCTCTCATGTTGTAAATGTGTAATTTTTCTCATCAATCATTTTAAGAGTAAAAACTTTGTTTTTGTTTTTTATGTAAGTAAGAATCGCTTTTCACTTGTAAATATTACATTTTTGATTTGCATTACATTGCGTCAGAAAGAAGCGTAAACATTTTCACCCAACATTGCATGTAAAATCGTTTCATACAGTTGCTTGAAAAAGTTTGTCCCAAAACTTTTTTTCCTTCTATTGAATGTATTTTCACTGAATATTTTTCTAAATCGGTGATTGCCTTATCTTTTGTCATCACGTAAGTATACGGAAGAATATTCAGTTAAAATAGTGGATAACACTTTATTTAGTCCGCTTCATTAATGCGACCAAGTGCAATAAATTGTTAATTTTTTTTTATTTATTTTATTTTTTAAAACAAATTTATGTATCATTGAATACAGGAGAAAGACACATTAAAATTTATACATCCAAAACATAATCGTCACGCATTACCATTATTCACCCACACACAAACACTCGACATTCATATCCATACACTTTGATGAGTGATCGATACCGATTTTCGAAAACGAAATTCCACAATCTCAAACACGTATATGAAAAAAAGAAGCGAACCTTTTGATCGTTGCAAAACCATTTGAAATGCGTTTTGAATATTATGTAAGGCTAAACTCAATAGGTAAACACTCGCGCGTGCACATGCTCATTTGGACATTGCATAAGAAAAGCGCCGCTGCTGTACGTATACCGTGTACACACACACACACACATACGCGTACTTATGCGCGTCCAATGGCTTTCACTTATGCCGCTGCAGCAGCACATATAAACATGTGACCTCACACGCATTATATACAATGAACATATATATATAATTTTCGAAGGATGTAATCCTAGGATACGAAATGCTTCGCGAGGAGAGTCGGAAGAAATTTTACCGAACCTCGTGGAATCGGCAACGATCGTTCGAAAATCGCTCGTGATCATCGCTGCTGCATCGTACGGGGGCGAGAAAAGGAGGTACATACGTATTCGTATAAAAAAAAGTTCAAGGTCGTTTACGTGCGCGTGCTCCGTTAATTATACTCTGCGTGGCTTCTTTCGCTGCTGCTCCTTTTTTTACCCGCAACTACGGGATTTCGTATTTATAAAATGTTACTTACATAAATTCATTGACAAAAATAAATGGAACACTCGTGCACCACTCATGATCGACATATTAGTATACTAACATATATACACAAGAACAACCTGTTCTCTCTCTCTCTGTCTTTCTGCGCGTTCACTTTGTGCGAAACACCAAAGGCAGGCAGTATAGGCAGTATAGGCAGGCAGGCACAACCAGCGTATAATATAATCTCACGACGAGTATATAGCCTCAGACAGTCATTGGTGCTGCGCGTTCGGTCAACACTGTATCGCGGAGAAGTGAAATAGTGCAACTTTAGACTCTGCTCCCTTGTTTGTTTTTGTTTTTCTTCCTTCTAAGTTCAAAAGAGTGATAGAAGAAAAGTGTCCGGTCCCTGTGTGTTTCGCTGCGCTTCTTTTTTGTTTATATTTTGGTATCCAGTGCGTGTGCGCGTCAGTGATTAGCATTTGAAATTTTCACTCTTTTCTCTCGTGGAAATGAAGTAATAGCGCATTATTACAGATATATAGATAGAAACAAATTGAGTACCTCAAGATCTCTCTCTCACTCACGATGATGCCTATTGCAGCAGCAGCCACCACAGCGGCTAACGCCAATAAAAGTTTAGGCTTTGGCGCGCCGAAGGTTGCTCCCTGTGCGTGTGTATATAGTAGTTATCCAGTAGCAAATCTTGCTTTTTCTCTCTCTCTCTCTCTCTCTCTTTTTTGCTCTCCAACGTCTTGATACAGATTAATAGAGCACAGAGCGGTGCGCGCGCGAGTGTATGCCCGCGGCTGTCTTTTTAATATATGTACCGAAAGTCCTTGAAATGTTTTTTTCATTTTATTTTTTTTTTATATTGGCTCTTACATACTGAGGTCTCAAGAGAGTTGACCGATTACTTTATCATCGATGGGATAATTATCTTTTTGTGCATCTTGTATGCGTTTTTCGTTTGTTGTTTTGACTCGCAGCTCCTCGCGTCACACTTGGCAGACGATCAAAGAAACTTTGCCCATGCCATGCACCTGTTGACTTTATCCGGTGCCCGCGCGCTATATACATTGAAATCGAAAGCGAATCGGTCTGGGGATTTACTTTGATTTATGTACTCGATCGATCGATTCGCGCTCGCGTTTCGAAATGGCACGCGTAATTTGTTGTTTTTTTTCTCTCTCTCGCTCTCTGGCTTCTTTTTTCCTATTCGAGCGTGTTTTTGCAAAGAGTCTATAGATGTACATGAGTGATCGGCTCGACACACCGGTGACACTATTCTTACACGCGCATCGAGCATAATATACTTTACTACAACTAACTTTCACTTCTTTACTCATTCTTCTTTCTTATAAAAAAAAAAAAAAAATATCGACCCCGTCATCTTGATTAATTTTTTTTTTTTTGATAATAAAAAATACCGCATTACGTATTCGCACGCGCGCGCNTTCCTTTTTTTTTTTTTTTTTTTTTATTACCGCCGTGCGAAAAATCTTCATCGTTCGCGGCGCTTATATACTCGCATAAATATCATCACATATACGTAAGTCGACGACGACGACAATCGTCCGGCGCGTTCGCCGGCCAGCAGCGCACAATGATTGGGCAACAAATTTTTTTTCTCCGAAAATTACGTTTTCAAATTAGCAGTTCTGTCTCTTTCTCTCTATTTGTACTTTGAATTTGCTCGGGTGGCCGCGATTCCGGATGTCGTATACACTCTTATTCAAGTGATGGGCATGTGATTTTCTTTGTATATTCGCGCGCGCACGCACTGCGTTTATAAGCGGCTCTGGTATCCTTCAAGGTCGTTCCTTATATATACACTCGCTGCTCTCTCGCCTTTTTTCCATGCCGTCTGCGGTTTCACCTTTGTCTTTCGCGTGTATAAGGAAACTTTTAATTCAAGGATAATTGAGAGATTATACCATAGCACGTATGTTATTATATATTTTTTTGAACGTGGAAAAATCATTTCTCCGCTTTGACGATGATTCGCAGATGCTAAAGCCGCGGAAGCAGCCCAGAGCGCCTACTACGATCCGAGCAGGCCACAGTGCGCTTACGTGCCGCCACCGGCTTACTATGTGAGTGTTTTTTTCTTCTTCTTTTCTTCTTTGATTGCAAAAAAAAATCTATCCTCGTATTTGACTGACGATTTTTTTTATTTTGATGATGATGATACAGGAAAGTCCGCCGAGTTTTCACCAAGCGACCGAGAAGAAGGATCAATAAAAGACACGACATAGACCCGAAACCAGATCGGACCAACGAATTTCTATATTTCTGAAGAGTAAACATCAAAATTCACACGTTTCTCGCTCGCATTAATTAATTATTATATATTAAAAAAAAAAAAAACGCAAATACACACGTGTATTATATTGCAAGATATAATACAATATAATGTATTACCATTATTAATTTTATTTAGTTTAAGAATCTTAAAACAAACAAATGAACTTGTCATCGATGTTGTTATATTTATATTCTAAAGCTCTTAATGTTATAGTATAAATTAGTAAAAAGAAAAAGTTTTTTGTTCTCAAACACTTTGACAATGGATTTATTACGACCAAGACGATGAAGAAAAAAAAAATGAATCGAATTCTTTTTGACGATCTTCTGCATTTAATATTAAGATATTAAGATGCACGCGTGCGAAGGGGAAAAATAATGTGATATGTCGCATTGAAGTAAAAAAATATAAAAAAAAAAAACAAAGACAATTGTAAAACGATTGTACATTAGTCCGCAACGTTCCTTGTATATTATTCACTTCTATATGATCGCAGTATTTTAGAGTTTTTCTGCTGTGTACGATTTTTTTGTTATCATAATTCTACTTATACCGTCAATATTAGTTCTCTTTTTCTCTCTCAACCAATCGGTGAACTTCGCTAAAGTACAAATTGTTTGTCTATTGAAAAAAAAAATTATGGATTTTATCACTGATTTTTGTTTTGTTATGTATATGTTATAAAGTTTGGATGTGAGTAATGAAAAGAATGAAAAGCAAATAATGCCCGAAACGAAGTAAAAGCTTATCCTGTTGGCTTATTATTCGTTGAAAGCAATGGAGATGTTAATGATAAAAAAGAACTTGTTTTCAGCGGATTTTTGTATCATATTAAGAGCTAGATTTAAGTATGAGTTAATTTCATAAAAATTTTATAGTGAAATAATCGTACCGGGCTTTGCGTCGAAAGTATTGTAACTCGTAATGTTTGAAGCTTAAGAAATAAAGATTATCTATTACCAAAAAAAAAAAAAAATAAAATGTTTCATTATTTAAAATCTTTTGAGTTTAGTTGAAAAGAAAAGTATAATTACTCACTGATATAAAAATTGTTAAGACTGGTAAGTAAACTCTGACAATAATTATGATATAATCAGAGTAAGCTATTATTATGAAAGTATAAATCAGACTATTTTTGACAAGTAGAATGGTTTCGATAAAAAATTTAACATAATGTTCTTTAATGACTCCGTTTTTATTTGATAACATTTACATTTATTATTTAATAAATATCATTTGTGCAGTATTTATAGTGCAAATAAAGATAATACCAAAAAAAACTACGCCTCACTAATAAATGACTTTTAGTAGTCTTGCTTCCTTTTCAATTAAAAGTGCAATTGTTGGAAATTTTGAAATTTACAATGATTTTAGTGATTGTAATATCACATTTGAATTTAATTCTGTTTTATGTTTTGTTCTTTTGTAAACTAAAGTATCACTTTGTAATGAAAATATATTAAGCATTGAAATTCGTCGTGAATCAGATTTTGTGATTAGAAATCAAGTTCATTGGAGATTTAGGACGTATCATTACTTTGATAACAACTTTAACAATCTATTGGATGTTTTCAATTACATCTATTAAAAAGTATTATTGCTTATTTGTGTGATGAATTATATAGCAATCTTTACAATACAAATAGTCCTATAATTCAACAAATTGAGCAGTAGTCGTAGCATGCACAACTCAATAAAATTTACCATCTTTAGTTCGTTTCAAAATACATTGGTTTTAAATAGCTACATTTTACTAGTTACATACACTCACATTGACTTTTTATTTATAATAATATGTTTGATATTCATGCATTTATTATAGCTCGCTAAAAGTTATAATTTGAGGATTCTCTTTTCAATGATGATGTTTTGAATGATGTCTTCACGAAAATGTTTAATCGATGCATGTTATAACGACGACATTACTTTAATTTCAATATTTTGAACGAAGAATGAACACTGAACGAAAAAATTATCGTACATAAAATGTATCCAGCGAGCAATCTAGAGGCTCGAAATTAATATTCTCGATGTAAAATATAATATTCATTTATATTTATAATATATATAAGAATATAAAATATCAATCATTACGTTTTTAGTTACGCAAGAGAAAACTTTAATAAATTTTCTATAAGTTTGAACGGTATTTTTTTGAAAACTCATGATATTTAATAAAAGATAAGAAAAATGAAATGCAAGCATTTGGAACATCATGCATTGTTATGATTATGCATTGTTGTTGTTACCATAATCATAATTTCTAATTGACAAATTTTGCAATATAAATTTGATTTACAAAATCTTCATAATAAATTTTCTTAAAATTTTGACTCCATAAAATCTGTATATTAATTTGAAAGAACAGTTTTAAATATTTATATTTCAAACAGGCAGTTTGTTTGCTTTATTATGGACATTTACTTTGACTATCAATAGCGTAATCTCAGTGTATGACAAGTTAATTACTTATTTTTTAATTAATAAAAATGCCTGACTAGTTTAGTCTTGTATTGATGTTCACGTCCTGTTACGCTAAGTTTTTTCCTTACACATATATTTATAGTAGTAATTACATCTGATATTCCATCAAAAGTACCATTTGCCAAGTATAACATCTCTAATTGCTTGTGAATACTGTGCTGGCACCCAATATAACCAATATCTGGAAGCCTCTGTTGGTCCCAGTTGTATCGCCTGTAACAGAATAAATTTTAATAAAATAAGATCCATAAAATAGTAAAACAAATAGTAAAAATAGTTGTGTGACTTTAATAACTTACCATAATGTGATATTCAGTGTGATCGTGAATTGGCTCACTGATTACATCTTTAATCGAATTCATAGGTATTTTATCTGTCCTTTCCTTTGTTCCTATCCACAGCTGATCTGCTTCCATTTTAAATGTTAATCTAACTTTTCCACCAGATTTATTGAGCATACCCTTCATTGGCTCTAACGGAAGTGACATTTGCTTTCCTTTCAATCCAGGCATCGCGTCTTCTGGTTTACCTTTGTCCAATATTTTACGATGCAGTTTTTGTTTCGAGAGAGGTTCTGCTTTCGACTCAGACGACTCGCCTTTGGCTCCCTGCGCATCTCCTGATTTACCTGGTAACGACACTTGGAGAACGTCGTCCAACTTCGAGCCGACAACCATAACTTTGGCACTTTTGGTCACACCCAATTCTCTGAGGGTCTGTTCGTCTTTGGCGAGTCCCTTGATCATGATCTTTTGCATGGTCGACGGCACGGATATGATGTCCTGCAAGTGAGACTTGAGCTCGAGCACGGTGCCGTCGAGGGCAAAGGACACGTCGATTTTCTTTTTGTTGAATATGACTTTGAAGTCGACCTTTTCTCTGGTATCGGGCTCGGGGGTTTTGGTCTCCAGCAGATTATCCAGAATGTTCCTCAACGGACTGTCCTCTTTTTTGTCGTTGTCGTCGTTCGTTGTCTGCTCGGCTGCGTTGGAATTCAACAACAATTCCGACTGGGAGTCGGCGTTGCAACGATTGTCGTTGTTATCTGCCATCGCTGCAAGGAAAGATAGTCGAATTAGAAAAGTGAACTGTCAAATCGAAGCACGTGTTCACGAGGTCTCCCCGCACGAGCACGTGCGTTTCGAAAGGCCTCGTAATTTTGACTTTCGTCGAGTATATATGGTATATAATTTTCGTATCGAAGCGAGCGCGTGCTGTGCAGACGTCACTGTTCGCGGAGAGGGTTATGTTCGACGTAAACTTTTGCGCGTAAATACACGAATCATCGCGAATGACGAGGTGAAAAAATCATCGGCACTCGGACGATCGAGCGAAGCGACTTACCTATATCCATTTTGCCTCGAAAAGTTGAGCGCGAGACCACGTGTTCCTCGATATCAAAAAGAGAGAGACTCGAAGTTTCCTACACACTATATGCCTTACTGTTATGCAGCGAGAGATCAGTGGTTTGTTATTGGTGCTATTAACCTCGACTGTCAGACACTGTACTGTGGAGTGCTCTGCTGTACTGCTACTGCTACTGCTGCTGCTGCTGCTGCTGGGCAACTGATATCTAAACTGCACGAGGAGCCGAGGCTTGAGAAAGTGAGACTTGCATATACGAGTTTTACTGTCTTCTATTCCCACTGCTGCTGCTGCGCATTACGATCGAGTTATGTATGTAGGGTGCACCATATGATGCAGATGGAGTTATTGACCGTGAATACCAAATTTGAATGATATTTACCTTTACAATCTTTAGTGGTGAATTATTACAAAGTAGTTATAGTTTATAAATACGTTTGTTTAGATTTTATACGAATAAATTAATAATAAAGTTAGATTGATCGGTGTTTTGATTTTATTATCGATACTTATGCCTTGTACTGTTAATTTTAATATAATATATTTTTTAGCCGAACGAGAAAATGTAGCTGTCACTATTTTTGTTAAATAAACCCGTATCCGCACCAATTCAATATACTATTTTTTTCTCAAGTAGCGACAAAATTGCATATTATTGGTCAGAGCGAAAAAAAAAATGTTTATACATCTCGATCATTAAAAAAAAATCCAACTGTCAAAGTTATCCTTCGGCACTACCCTCTTCAATTCTTATTTCTTATCATCGACGATATAGACGTCGACCGTTAATCGCGTTTTTATTCCCGCGTCATTCGAATTTCAGCGCTCGATCGAAGAACTTCCAGATGTCGCTGCGAATTTCACACGCGGCCGCAGCGCACAGCACACGCACACACACACATGCACGAGTGCACCGAAAAACACACAGGAATTCCTGCAGCTAAATTTGTGCACGCGTATGTGTGTGTGTGTGCCTGGCTGGTTGCCGATGTTCGGCCCGCGCATTCGTCGCGGCGCATTCTCCCAGGCCCAAGGCGAGAATGGGAGAGAACTATGGACAGAACCGCGATAGCAGTCGGATCAGCCGTTTCTCTCTGTCTCTTTTGTCAGCGTGTGTTACAGCATATATATATATATATAGACATATATTATATCGAGCCGCCATACGAATACATATACACACACACGCCGAGGAGAAAGACTCCTTTTTTCATTCTGCACTCGGGGGGCCTTATAAAACATACACATAGTCGTAGCTTCGTGATCGTCGCGTTACCAATAGGCACATTATATAGAAAACACACCCAATGATCGAGCCGTGGGCGCCGCTCCAACTCCTCGTTGCTGCACCACTTCTCTGTGTAGTTACATAGCTGTGCGCTGCCTCTCTGTGCGTGTGTGTCAGTATTATTATACACGTATATAAAATAATCGCGCGGTGCTCCGCTCGTGCAGGTATATTATAACATGGTGCGAGTATAGGAGTTTTGAGAGCAGAGTGTGTGTTGTACGTGCCGTAATAAGCGCGCGAGCGCGACTAGGCTGTTTCTTCGTTTCTTTTTTTTTTTGGTTTGGTTTGGTTTGCATTGCATCGAAGAAACAAGGAGACCCACGACGAACCGTGTCCAATGAGTGCTCGATAAAAACTCGCGACGCTGAAAAGTTTTTTGGCCAGAAACTGTGCGCGCGTGTTTGTGTGCCTTTTGGTTGTTGTCAACAAAAAAAAACCCGCGCTGCAAGTACAGTAGCAGTGTGCTGCAGTCAACAACATGCCGCCCAAGAGAAGATCCGACAAGGATCATCAGCTGCAGCAGCAGCAGCAGCAGCAGCAGCAGCAGCAGCAACAACAGCCACAGTCCCAACAGCAAGAAGTCGGAGTAGCAGCCACAACGGCGACGGCGTCCTCGGCTGGCAGTACCAACGGCAACAGCAACAATCCGAGATCCGCTTTCGCCGATCACGAGCTGTTCCTTCAGGCGTTCGAGAGTAAGTGTCTCGACCGAGTCGATTCGAGAAAATTTTCGTTTGTTTTGGTTATTTGTATAAGGGCCACGCGGTGTCTCGAACGTAGCGGTGTCCCGAGCGTATATCGAACAAAGAGAGGTGTTGTGTGCAGTTGTATAGCTGCTCTCGACGATACAATTGTGTATCGAAAAATTCGCGAGACACATAACCTGCAAAGCCCGCGCGCGTCGTTATATACATGTATACAACCGCACGGGGGCCGCCTGTGCGTGCACGATGCTGCTTCTCGTGTTGTATATTATATTATATACTTACACCATGAGAGAGAAAGAGAGACTCGTAGTCCGAACGCTACTCTATGCACGAGAAAAGCGATACAGTTTTTTTGACGTTATGTTTCGTATCCTGCCTCGTTCGGCGCGATACGTTTTTGGATGTACCAACAACGGCCCCCGAAGTTGTTGACGCGGTACGTCATTTGCGGAGCGCGCAAAAAAATATATACCAACGACTCCCGTCGTTCTGCATCGTTTCTGTATTTCTCTCTCTCTCTCTCTCTCTTTCTCCATGCATCTGAAGCTCGTGAAGAAATTTAGCCAAAAACCAACAAATAATAAATAAAAAGAATAAAAAGAAGATGAGACTTATAACTCGAGCATCTCACGGACGTGCCCGGGTGGAGCTACATGGTTTCCGCTCTCTTATACTTCTCTCCTCTTTACTTCTTCCAATTGAATTTGTTGCATATGTCATATATACGAAAACGGAGGGGTTGTTGCGTGCACGCGTAATTCTCCTTTCATCTTCCATGAGAGAGAGAAGGAAAAAAAGAGAGAAAGAAAGAAGGAAAGAGAGCGAGAATGAGAAACGTGAGATCGTTGTGTACGCTTCTCGTATTAAATCTGCTGACTATTACGAAAAGTTCGTTACCGCATCTATACGAGACAGAGAAAGAGAGAGAGAGAGAGAGAGAGAGAAAGAAAGAAAGAAATAAAATTGAATTCTACTGATCTAGAACAAAAAAAAAGAATTACTTATTCCGCGTGTGACAAAGCCGTGCTTACGCGCGAAGCTATTTATCGATTTTTAAAAAGTCCGGGTAATCGATTCCTTTCATCGCGATGAAAAGTCGGGGCGCTTGGCCATAAGCGGCAGCTGCACATCATCGGGATCAGTTTGCCACGCGCGTGTTTTTAGCTTTTCGAATTTTATAAAGTCCTCGAGACTGGGTATACCCGGCAAATGGTTAAAAGTCTTCCTAATATTATATTCAATATTGTAGACTCACGGAAGCGAGAAATGGGCAAAACTTTCCGTTTACCCTTTTTCGTGCGTACCCATTATGTATATTTTACGCTCGACGAAGCAGCACCGAGAGACACCAGCTGACGTAGACGTATTTGGCGCGTGTTTCCATGCATACGATGCATATACAATATATGATATATACTTACCTGCTGGGCCCCCAAGGTAAAAAACGGTTTTTTAGTTTTTCGAGGGGTTAATATCATTTTATTTATATCTTTAAAAAAATTGTAAGAAATGTAACGTGTCCTGAGCCTTGCAATATAAAAAAGAAATTCGTCACATTGTCTAGCGTATATAGGCGCGATGCATTCGTGGCCGAGTGTTTTTCCACGTCGCTCTGACCCACATTTCTCGTTGGTATCGTTTCGTTAATCATCTATCGTATAGACGCACACTACTTCTCATTAGAAGTTTTACTCACGATTCGGTGAACGAATTTTTTCTAGTCGCTTTAACTTTTGATTTTTGATTTATATATTGGGGGTTTTTGAACGGGATCAGAGTGTCATAGTCTGCCGATTGCGTAACAAGGTTCCGAGCGAACAGACATCTCGTATGGGTAACGAGCGACTTACTCAGTCATCATCTCCCGTTCTGAATCCAGAAGGATCGTCTTTACGGCACCAAAGCACGGTGCTTTGTACGTTTTCGGCCGCACTTCGCTCGCGAGTGTCGTAGACCAGACAGCCCTAAGACATCTGTTGGCCGAGAGAGCGTACTAATGTATAGGCGCGCATCTGTTCGAAGTCGATTCGAATTTCGAAGATACTTTCTTTTTTTTTTTTTTGGAGATTATCCGAGAGTTCGAATGATGGAAATGTATGGTTTTGTTTTCTTCTTGCAGAACCGACGCAAATCTATCGATACCTACGTACCCGCAATCAAGTATCGGTGAGTACACGCAACGCAATTAAATATTTTATAACATTTATCAACAAACGAATTATTATCATTTATATCGTTTATATCATTACTTTATTGTGCTACGATGCGATATATACTATACCCCCCAGCCCTACATGTTATGTTACTTTGTTTCAACACCTTTTTTGCGCCAATTTTTTTGCATCTCATCATCATCTCGCTCGTTGTAAAGTTTTGTTTATTTTTCTTGCATCTTCGTCTGTATATGTATGTAATATATAAAGTGCTTGTCGTTGACTTTTGATTTATAACACACATCTTTGATCTTAATTTCTGCCACGGTACGTATTACGCTCAAGTCTCTTCATTCAAATGCAATTTTACTTTTCTTTTTTTTTGTTTCTTTTATATAATCAGTCTCCGAACTTTACAAAATTAAGAAAAAAAGAGAAAAATAATCATTCGCGCGACTCTCGTCCCGCCCGGCACGTATAGCCCGAGGATATATACTCGTCTGTTTTTCCGTTTCAGCCGATATTCCTGCACAGAAATCTCAGCTACATGATGGACTGGCGAATGAAGCGCAGCAACAGGACGAGGCGCAACTTTCGCGTCAACTCGATTCTCGATCGGCAGCTGGCCAAGATCGACAAGAACGTCGCGGGCAACGGGCGCATGACCATCACCTTCGCCGGCGTCTTTCATCCGTCGCTGAGCGACACCCAGGATCCCGTCACGGTCGAGACGTATCTCGTCAAGATCTGCCACAAGAAGCGCAAAGACGTGAGCACGCCGATCATGCAGGTCTCCGTGGGTAGCGCCAAGATCCCCGTGAATCCGACGACGCAGTCCACCAACGGCGTCGGTGGTGCGACGACGACGACGACGACGAGCTCGTCCCCGGCGACGACCATACACGTGCCCAAGGAGTCGTTCAACCTCGGCGGTACCTCCAAGACATACATGCTACTGATGACGGTTCAGTTCCCGAGCTCGAGCTCGCCCACCATGAACGGCGACAGCGACGATGGTAAGAATCGAGGAAAAAATAATCATACTAAACTGAAAAAAGTGTAAGGGTAGATCTAGGCAAAAGTGTAGACAGCTAGATTAGAACATGTATACTTTGCTGTGACATTATTTTGAGTAATAATAGTTTGTTAAGGGCTAAAAGGGAGCTTAATTGTTTTTTAATTTTTTATTTATTTATTAAAATGAATAAATGAATAGTAAATTCTTAACAAATTGTAATACAAAGTGCTAAAGATCACCTTATGCTTACCTTATCGAACAAAATGAAATTTCAGAACTATTTTGATTCATCCAATGACTTGGAATTCTAAGATAGGTAGCTTAAATGTGTGAAATAGTTACCTATAAGATCAGTTGACTCAATCAGTGCATTTTACTGTTTCTAAGTATCTATCTCGACAAAATACTTTCAAATGAGGTATTGAAAAGGTTTTTATATGTGTCCTTCAGAAGAAAATTTCTTCCACTTTTACAGTCTAATACTGTAAATGAAAAACTAAACCCATTGGGCCATATACTGTGCTAGATCTCTACCCATAAGATTTTTCTCAGTGATCTATTTCACCACGGCTCCGACTCTACAATTTTATTTCTCCCTTTTTTTTCCCCCAGAACCGGCCGCCAAGCGCTGCAAACTGTCCAACGGTACGGCCAGCGGCAAAGAGCCGGAGACGCGAATCTACAGCTCCGAGCTCACCGTCTACGACAAGCACAACAAATGCCAGCTGACGGAGGGCGAGTACGCCCTGAGCCTGACCGAGATACAGGGTGCTGCGCGTGGCAGCCCCAAGAAGCATCTGTCCTGGGAGACGCTGACGCAGGAGGCCAAACGCGACTGTCCGCCCGTCGACGATTTCGAGCAGCAGCTGTTGCTCAAGTTCAAGCTGAGCTGGACCAGAGAGCTGGGCAACGCAGCGCAGAACGGATTCGTCGACAGGAGCGCGAGCAACGGTCTGCAGTCGGCGGCCACCGCTGCCGGCGACAACAAAGAGAACAGGCCTGGAAACAGTGAGTACACACGGTTGCGACTGTTTTTGCGTTCGCGAGAGATCGCGGTCAAAAGAATGCGTGAAAATAACGATTAGTTCTTTCGATGATCTCAGATGGCCTCATTCACAACAACAACACGTCCACGAACAACGCCAATAACTCGTCGCTAAACTCATCTAGTCTGTTAGGAACTCCGAAGGTTACCCTGGCGAACGGAGAATTGGCCGAGGCGTCCAAGCGACACCAGATCGTTTATCAATTCCTGTACAACAACAACAGTCGACAGCAGACCGAAGCCTGCGAGGATTTTCAGTGTCCCTGGTGCTCGCTCGAGTGCGGCAAGCTCTACTCGCTGCTGAAGCACTTGAAGCTCTGCCACTCGCGATTCATCTTCACTTACGCCGTGAGTAGTGGACTCTTCCTGAATTCTTCACACCTCTTTCGTGTACGCAAAGGAAAATGTTTGAAATCTACGTTATGACTTTCTTTTTACAGCCCATACCCCAAGGTGCCAGGATAGACGTTGCCATAAATCACTATTACGACGGCTCGTACTCGGGCAGTCCGCACACGCTCATCCAGCAGCCGAGCACCTCGAAAAACGCGAAAACCGGCCCGGCCAGGCGCACGAGCGTCTCGAACATTTTAGTCTGCAGGCCAAAGAGACCGAAACCGAGTCTGTCGGAATTTTTGGAGCCCGACGAGAACGAGCTCGAGAGTTCGAGGCCTTACATAACTGGGCACAATAGGCGAGTACAAATCATTCAGTTGAAAACGATGACAATATTTTTTTAATTTCTCGCTTTACCTTTCAGGCTGTATCACCACACGGTCACCTGCTTACCGATCTATCCCAAGGAATTGGACGTGGACTCGGAGGGCGAGAACGATCCCAAATGGTTGCAAACCAAGACGATGATGATGATCGACGATTTCACCGACGTGAACGAGGGCGAGAAGGAGCTGATGAAGATGTGGAATCTTCATGTTATGAAGCACGGTTACGTGGGTGACTGTCAAATACCCTTGGCCTGTCAGATGTTCGTCGAGCAACGCGGCAAAGAATTGCTCATGAAGAATCTCTATCGAAACTTCATTCTGCACATGAGCAATCTTTTCGATTTCAGCCTGATTAGCCCGCCGGTGCTATTTCAGACGATACAAAAGCTCCAGGACATCATGCAGGCCGAGGGCGCGAACAGCGAGGCTCGCAAGGTCCTGCAAAAGGCCCACGCCGACCAGGTCGAGTGGTGGAGCGCCAACGGCTCGCAGAATTTCAGCGAGCCCGTCAAGACTGGTTAGAAAAAATTTTAATAATTTTACCGCATGCTAGAGATGGTAGAATTTAAGAAAAAAACAAAACAAAACACAGATCTCCTTTACCGAGAACGTATTTTCTTAATTAAAAAAAAAATTACTATTATCCTTCAGCGAATAGCGTTCAAGCGAGCAAAGTCCATTTCAACAATCAGGACACGCATCGTCGCAAGACGACGACCCTGCCGATGAGCTCGCCCCCGGGCAATGCGCATCTGCACGCCAAGCACCCGAGCATGATGTCGAGCGGCACCAATGCCCTCGGCAACTTGCACTCGCCGAAAGACGCGGCTGCCCCCGCCGTAGCCGCGTCCGTCAATGGCGTCGACGCAGCCTCCTCCTCGCAGCAGATCCGACGCAAGAGCGCCGCGATCGATCATCAGCAGGACGGTAGTAGTGGCGCTTCTGGTAATAATGCCAAAGCGTCGGCGACGACGACGACGACGACAACGTCCACCACGGGGATGCAACGACGCAAGTCGTCCGTGGGGGGAAACGAAAGCGAGTATCACAGGCGTAAACTGGTACTCGATCCCGTGCCCAATGGCACGACCGCGACTAAGACTGTGCAAAACGGCTCGTTTTAATGATAATAACAAAAAGAAAGAAAGAAAGAAAGAAATCAACGCCGTCGCTACTAGGAATAAAATGTATATTACGATTATATTATTATAATGGATGTTGAAAAGTTTGACTTTTAATGTTGTTTCGCGTGAATGGATTCATGCTTCGCTCGTTTTGTATTTTTATTGACAAAATAACATTGTGGTATAAATGAAATAAAGAGACGTCCACATAGAAATGGCATGATCCTCGGCGGTGGTTCAATTTTGAATGAATTTGTTGAACGTTTGTTTATCATAAATTTACAAATCAACATTTGTACAGTATTTGTTGGAATTATCATATTACTTGAGTTTAAAACATTTTCTATTTTATCGATCAGGTCAAGTAGAATAATTGTCGAAAGTTATCGATCCCATTTTCGTTAAGACAATTGTTTTAAAAGGACTTGATATCTAGTAGAATTGCAAAGAACTATTAATTTTTTTTCAAATGAAACAAAGAGATCATGAAAAATTAGACGCAATTTTTATTAAGTTTTTCAATTTTGTATAACTTATTAAGTTTAGGTATTATTTCTTCTTCATGAACTTCGAATGAACTAATATCGTTCATTTTTTGCTTTCAATAGCGAAATTAACAAATAATGTAATTAATTACGATTTACGTTTGAATTATTTTCCTTTGATCATAAATTCATGCATTTTTACTGAATAACGATTCGCTTTCATAACGCTTCAATCAATTTGTATACTTTTTATTTACACTCTAGTCACCCATAACATTTTCGACGCTACCTTTGATAAACTGATGAATTTTCCCTCTCGCTTTATTTACAAATTCCAATGATCTTATTGCGTTTTGAGTCGCAGACACTAATAGTTAGCTTCAATTATTTAGGTATTGAACAACTATAACTCAATTATCACAGGACACACACATTGACTATAATAATCCGAACGTGTAAAAATTGTGTAATTGATAAATATAATGCTAATGAATGATCTGAAAATTTCGTTCACAAGTAAAACGTGAAAGTAAAAAACGAATTTGCGTACAGATATTTAAAAATTCATGTAATGCAAATCATATCAATATATATCCCATATAAGTTTTGTAACGTTTTTCCGATTTTGTCCGAATTAAATCGATTTCGATAAAACAGAAAAACATTCTACGAGCGCAAAAGTGCCTTCTGTGAAAGTCCAGGAGTTGCAGATGGAAAAAAAAATTTTTAGCCGAAGCTTGAAATTGATATGTATAATCTTCTACCATTATCGTAGGAAAACTCATGAATTTAAAATATTAATCGCAAACGAAGGCAGATGATGTTTTTTTTCATGCCGATGCGAAAGTGCAAATTATTATTATTTTCTTTTCGTTGCTGTTATTATTTTTTTTTTTTGTATTATTTTGCGCCTACTCTTGTAATAAGAATATTGATGCGCGATCGGACAGTGCAAAAAAATCGAGCGACACACACACACACACACACACCGGTGCCTCGTCGCGCACTGTCCACATTCAATCGTACGATACATATTTATGTAATAAATTTACTGTTTACACTGTAAGGATGTATATAGTATGTAAAGGATCTTTCAATAAAAAAAAAACAGTACAGTGGACGAAAATTGTACAATGTGTAATATCGTTTTTATTATATATAATATATACTCGCTGATATGTTCAATCGGTATCGTACACCGAGGCGGGTCGTTAACCCAGTTTTTTTTTATAAATCTGTGCAATCCTATATATGTACATGGTATTTTTGACGACTTTTATCAGCAGAGAAAAGTGCGTACGTATATCTACAAAAGACCTATATGGCAAAGGACAATGTGAACAATGTCGGATAGGGAAGAGGCTGCCGCGATCGACGACGTCATGGACGAGAGCGTCCCCGTCCCCTCCGCCACCGACGACAACGATAATAATAATTCCGAAATCATCAAGGCGAAGAGCAACAACAGCAACAACAACGGCAGCGTAATCAAACGTCGACCCAGCATCAGCCGGCTGAGCATAAGATCGGCGAATCTCGAGCAGCGCGGACGCAGACACTCGCGCGCCCGCTCGACCGGCCACCACCATCATCATCACGTTCTCACGGACAAGCGCTCCGTACAGCAGCTGCGTCGGCTTCAGCGCGCCACGACTCAGGCGCAGATCGTCGTCGGCGCTGGTGGTGGTAGACGACTCAGACGAGTGCCGGCCGCCAAGACCATCTCGAGCGCCGACATCGATAACAACAACAGCAACGAGAGCAACATAAAGCAAAACGAAGAATTGGCCAAGTCGTTGGAACTGCTGCAACTGGTGGACGACGAGACCAACGACGCGACCAACGCCGAAGCAGGTGATAATAATCGAGCGTTGATAGATCAGAGCTCCGGTGACTTTAGCTTCGAGGAGGAAGCCGGAGGAGCTTGCGCAGCCGCTGCTGCAGCAGCAGCAGCAGTCGAGACGCCGAGGCCGCGCAGCGTGCAATGGAAGGGCGACGTCGACGTGATCTATTACGCCGGCGACAGACGCGGTAGGTGATTCAAAAAAAAAGAAAAGAAATCAAGCCTTCGGAAGAAAGAATCGAAACTTTTCCTTTCTTTATGATCCAACTTGGACACAGGTAAATTGATAAGACGCGAGAACGAGCCGCTGCGCGAGGAATCGGACCAGCAGGCGCGCAAGAATCGCTACGTCCAGCTGGCCCTGGCCAAGAGCCTCTTCTCCAACGTCACGACGGTGGCCACCACCACCGCCTCGTCGTGCCACCTGCGCGGCGCTGCTGCTCCTCCCAATTGGCTCGCCGAGTGGCCGAAATGACACACGCGTCGCTTTTAAATGACGCTCGAACAAATTGCCCAGTGACTTCTCTTTTTTTAATATATACACAAAATATACACACAACCGCGCACATTTTTATTCCGTTTTGAATCAATAAAAAAACAAAATGATAATACTAATGATGAATTCACGCTCTCTCTCGTCGTCATCTCGTCTTCTTCTCGATCTTGAGCAGCACCAGCTGCTTGAGCCTCTGATAGGCGAAGTACTGGGGAAAGTCGAGGCTCAGCTCGGTCACCAGCCAGTCGCGCTTCTGCCTTCTTACGCAGCGCCGAAACTCCTCGTACATCGGCGCCACGGAGTCGAGATCCGCCAGTGTGAACACGTAGCGCTTCTCGAGCGCCACGTAGGCCGCCCGGGCCGGCGTCTCGTCCAGTAGTCGCGCGAGGGTCGCCACGAAGCCCGCCGTGATCTCGTCGTCGTAAATCACTGCCACAGCCCAATATAGGAGAGATGATATAGAGTAAAAGCTGTGTTTTTTTGTTGTTGTCAAGACGAGACTATACTCACCGTCGGCAGCCATTATCACGTCTATCTTATCCAACTTGCTTCTCAATTTCGGACACCAATCGGCATTCAAAAAGTCCAGCTCGCACACGCTGACCTTGGCTTTAACCAGCTCCGAGTTGCGTTTGAAATTGCGCTCGATCAGCTCGAGTATGCCCGTGCCGCAGTCGATGTCGGTGCAGCAGACCTCGCGCGCCAGGCTGGAGGCGACGATGCCGTCGAGGCCCACACCCGAGCCCAGCTCCAGTACGTGCCTGTCGCGAAACAGCTCCGGATGCGACAGCACGTAATCGGCCAGCAGCAGAGCGCCCCGCCATATCTGCAGACCGACGAGTTTCAGTTCCGTGGCGATGCTGTGCTCTGTAATGCCAGGAGTGTATAAAAAAATTTTACGAGATATTTAGAGATATCGATCGTGGTCGATAGATAAATTCTATATACTGAGAAAAAAAATTAATTGATTCAATGAAATACTTAATTAAATACAATCTATGAAATAATTTCATTGAAATAATCTTTTTTTTCTTTAGTTTCATGAAATTTCGGTAAAAACAACTAAATATTTTGTTGGATGAAATAAAAAAAGATTGTTTCAATGAAATTATTTCATAGATTGTATTTAATTAAATTTTCATTGAATCAATGATTTTTTTTTCTCAGTGTATAAATACGTACCTATGGAGATGGCGGCCTCGGTGGCTGGTTTACGATCGAGCACGAGATCGCCGTCCTCGTCGACCGCGAGGCTCGTCGTCGTCGACGATTGTCCGTTTTTGTTACTGCTGCTGTGGCTGTGGTTTCGTCTCATGTAATCCGGAAGTACGAAAAAGAATTTCGATACCGCGCCTGTGTTTGATTTTGATCGTGGGATGCGATTATTATTTTTTATCGTAGGAAATTTTTATGCGAGTGATAAAGATATAACTGTACTCAACTGTTGCTGCCCTCCTCGTTGGTCTCGCTGCAGGCGTCCTTCTCGATCATTACCTCCGAGGTGATCTTGTGCTTCGTCGTCGTCATTTTTTTCTACAGGGAACATAAGAAAAATTACAATTATGATTTTTTTTTTATCCAATCTGACCTCACGACGAGTATTTATAATTATAAAATTGATCGATGAGTAGACGAAAACTTGGCCCCACCCAAGGCTTTTCTTTCTACGTTCGAGCGCACGCACCTCTGTAAAGCACGCGTTTCAAAGTTCAATGCCAATTTTCGCGCGTGTCTGCGCCGTGCAGTCGGGTCGATCGACGACTTTTCTCGCACTGATGATGGCACCACAAGCACGCTCATATAAAAAACGATCGATATTGTATCGAATAATTATGATTTAAAGAGTGCAAAAAGAAGTACAAAATTCAGATCTCGAAATCGCGCGAAATCCAACTCGATACAGTGGACACCGACTGCGACGCACGACACGCGTTTCTCGGATGTCGCGTCTGCAGTGCGTAATTTATTTTTGGTTCTGCAGCAGCAGCAGCATCGGGAGAGACGAGATTTACTACTTCTTCGTTTTAATACATATATACCTGCCTCTGCAGCACAGAGCGCATAATTAAACACACGTGTTTGCGCGTTTAACTCGAGATGCATTAAATATAGGATGGTACAACTATTAAAAGTCATTTCGGTTTTCTGGCCATCTAGCGCTTGTATTATATATAGCTGCTGCTGCTGCAACTGACAGCTGCGACGGTGGCAGCGAGATACGATCAGCTGATTCTATACACAATTTAGAATGTTCTATTATTTTTTCTGTACTATTGTGTGTTTAAATCACGTTAAATATTTACCTCGCGTACCTGAAATAACAATAGAATCGTTGCCGTTGGAGCGTGCGATTATATCCATGCCCTACTTCGATTCGATTGATTTTAATATCAACAAAAAAAAAAAAAAAAAATTAAATTTCGCAGCCCTGAACACCTGTGCAAACGTGTGTGCGTGTTGCGTCTATCGTGTCTCTCGCGTTTCGAGAGAGACAAACAAAACGCGCGCGAAAAAAAACTTGGATAAATAATACAACGCGTTTCTCAATTCGTGCGAGAGAGACACGCGCATCAGGTGGTTTTTTTTTGCTCGAGACATCGCGCGCGACGATTTCTGTCGCGCACGAAAAAAGGGACGCATCACGATGGCGTATCATGGCACCCTTGACCCTCGTGACACCCTTGTGTGTTTATCATACTTACATAGCTCTCAGAGTCCGAGTTGCAGCAGGTGGTCGCGTCTAACCTACATATAATGTTATTCTGCTGCACAGCGGAAGTTCAACGTATCCCACACATCGACACACATTTGTTGTTGTTGTTGTATGCACTTACGAGATTTCTGTGTGGCAGCAGCAGCTTAAAGTCATAACGCGTGACATAATATAACGAGAGAGCCCGGCGTCGTTCAATTCTTCGTTTCGGAGAGCAAGAGATAAAAAAGTACAGTTATTATATCTTACTTTATATATCGATAATACCTATTGGACGTAACCCATGGGGTGGTGGGGAGAGCAATGACGCAACTAGCTCGCGGACGACGATGGCACCTACTGTCTCCCTGCGCCTCCTGTATAACCTGCTGAAGCTAAAAGGATATATGTATATATGATAACGCTCGCAGGTCTCCGTGTGTATTATACCGCGCCATGGAAGGGGAACTGCGTGCGTGTGTGTTATATACCCATATTTGACCTGTGAATCTCTCGCACCTTGGGCCATTTAAAATTCGATGACCCCCCCAACTGAGTGTAATAGATTTCGTTATATATTTATTTTTGTGAAAAATAGATTTGTATTATAGATACGCATAAGTGATCATCTCTCTCTCTTACATACGCGAGTCACACGCGGAGCTCCGATATTTCCTGCTCTCTCTCTCTCTCTCGGCGGTTTCGACTTTTCAGTTTCGGTAACATTACGACTCGTCAGAAGTAGAAACGAGCCAATGGGAGCTCACCACGCTGCCGAGTACGTTGATACACGTACTCACGGCTCTTTACCGAAATGTGTGTATACGCGGGCTTATTGCCACGACGCGACTCGTCGTTATTTTTTTTCTTCTCCGTTTTTTTACTTTTCGTTATTTTTATTGTTTACCACGAAAAGATGAGATTATATATTGTTTTTGCCTCGTATATAATGCAAGCCGACGTACGTCGTGCGTGTGCGATGACCTATTTCGTGACTGTCACGAGACGCCGCCGCCGCCGCAAATGCGGATGATGATAATGCAATGCGATTGTTTAACGCTTAGCGTATACACGAGAGCTTTATTTTACCATGTTTACTGCTTCATTATGTTATTAGAAAAAAAAAAAATAAATAACGAGGGAGAAGACGATTCGAGAGCGAGTGATATCTATTATTTTTCCATTCCAATTGCGATCGTCTTCTGTCGAATCGAATTAAAATCCCATCAAGATTTCATTGACACCCGCGCGACGGACGCAAAAACATTTAATCGATGTAACGTAACACCGCGTAATAACGCTTGGCTCCGAAAAATTGTTTTTCTCCTGTGGGACTTTTCTCTCTGTGTATCAATCGCCTCCGGAGTCTTTTTCCCCCTTTTTTTTCTCATTAAAACCACGTCGTCGTCGACTCTCTATGTGTACACGAGATTTCGCACACACGCAAAACTACCGCTGCTTCTCTCGTGTGTGTGTGTGTGAGTATTACTATAGCTTCCATCTCTCTCTCTCTCTGTCTTGCGCGGCGCCGCTCGGCTGCTGCTGGCTGCTGATCGTCTCTTTCCTTCTCTCTCTCTCTCTTGTACCTATACCACTGCGCAACCCTATGGTTTCGCTGCGTGTATAGTATAGTATATAGTACCGCACCGCCGCGGCCATTCCGTTCGCGAGATTCGCCGTCGTCGCTGCTGCTACCGTATATAATACAACATAGTCGCGGGGCGTACATTAGCGAGAGCCAATATCTACTATAAGCCGTATAAATAAGCGCGCCGCGTGCCAGCCGACGTTTTGTTTCTTTTCGGGTACGAAGCAGTCGAGAAGTGTGTTGTTGCCTCCGTAGTCACTTTTTATAACCGCTAACCGCTACACCATGAAGTTCGCGCTGGTGTTGTTCGGCCTGTTCGTGGCTGGCTGCTCGGCCGCCACCGAGATCCCGACCGAGGACGAGGTCCTCGTCCTCGGCAAGGACAACTACGACGAGGCTCTGAGCCAGCACGATTACGTGCTCGTCGAATTCTGTAAGTATACAATAATTGATGTACGCTTTCGTTTATTTATTTTCTTTCTTTCTTTTTTTTTGTCGTTAACTGCATTGTCGCACATATACGCGTCTGCTTCGTCGTAAATGGCATCGTCTATTTCTATACGAAATATAAAAATTTTCGGAGGAAATTCGCGCTCAACGTCTTTCCAGATGTGTCGTGTGCGTGTCTTCTTATCTCTCTCTCTCTCTCTCTCTCTTGCTCTTCGCTGCTGATGCGGCACAGCGGAGAAAGAAAGAGAGGAACACACGATCACACATCTTCCTCGTCGCGGCGTATAAACTCTCGCCTTACAGTTGCTGCTGCTTCGCGAATGTCCACGTCATCGTGCCGTTTCTGCGGCGCGCACGAGGCTAAGCAGCATATATACACGTATACCCACACACACACATACAACGACTCCTTTTCCTTTGTGCGTGTGTATTTATAAACATATATATAGTACGTTCTATACGCATACACGTAAGCAGCAGCAGAGGCAGCAAGAGAGAGCGAATTGACTTAGCCGAAGCATATTGTTCGCGAAAGTTGAATCATTGTCAACTTTTTTTTTTTTTCTTCAATAATTATTCAACCAAGGCTCGTACGTGTCTGTCTGCGTTGCGGTATTAAATACATTATGCTTGAACCGAGGCACTTGCCGGCTTTGTCGCGGCCGGTAGTACAGCGAGCCGCGTACACACACACACACACACACGTCACGACCTCGTACAATTTTTTTTTTTTGCCACTTCCTTTATACGCGTTTACACTGGTACATACGTGGTATATAATAAAATATCAACGGGCGAAATTAGTCACAATTCAGCTGCGAGCGAGCTTTTTTTTTTGTCGCGTTGTCACGTCGGATGCACGGATGACGATGATGATACCTTATGATCAATTCGAAAGATGATGACTTTGATGTTTACAAGTTCTTCTCTCGCGGCTGCTGCACACTGACAATTTTATGGTCTCTCGCGCGTGGTGTCCCCTCCGCGCACGCGATCTTGAACTTTTAATCCGCCGTATAGTGATAAGACGATAATGATGCGCGTTTCTCTCAACGAGACATATGTTCGTCTTGCTTACGTGTATATGGATGCCACTTATGTACGAATACGCAACCGTATTGGAAAAATATTACAATATATCGTTATCGTTACTTTTCCTTGTCATCATAGATGCCCCATGGTGCGGACACTGCAAAGCTCTGGCGCCGGAGTACGCCAAGGCCGCCAAGAAGCTGCTCGAGCAGGGATCCGCGGTGAAGCTCGCCAAGGTCGACGCCACCATCGAGGCCGAGCTCGCCGAGAAGCACGAGGTCAAGGGCTATCCCACTCTCAAGTTCTTCCGCAAGGGAACACCCCTGGACTACACGGGCGGTCGCCAGGCCGACGACATCGTCAACTGGGTGACCAAGAAATCTGGCCCAGCTGTCGTCCCGTTGGCCGATGTCGAGGCAGCCAAGAAGTTCGTCGACGCCACCAACGTCGCCATCGTCGGTTTCTTCAAGGACCAGGAGTCCGCCGACGCCAAGACCTTCATGGAGGTCGGCAATCACTACGATGAGTACGGCTTCGGTGTGAGCAGCAGCGACGACGTCTTCGGCGAGTACTCCGCCGAGGACGGCCAGATCTACCTGTTCAAGAAGTTCGACGAGGGCAAGGTCCTGTTCGAGGGCGAGGTCAGCATCGAGAACCTCAAGAAATTCGTCGACCTGCAGTCCCTGCCCCTGATCGCCGAATTCAACCAGGAATCGGCACGCAGAATCTTCGGCGGCGACATCAAGACCCACCTGCTGGTCTTCCTCAGCCAGGAAGCCGGTCACTTCGAGAAGTACGTGGAGGAGCTCAAGGAACCCGCCAAGAACTTCCGCGGCAAGCTGCTCTTCGTCACCATCAACGCCGACGACAACGACCACGAGCGCATCCTCGAGTTCTTCGGCATGAAGAAGGAGGAGGTCCCGGTAATGCGTCTGATCCAGCTCGAGGAGGACATGGCCAAGTACAAGCCCGAGAACCCGGAAGTTAGCGCGGCCAACATCCAGGAATTCGTATCGGCCTTCTTCGACGGCAAGCTCAAGAGGCACCTGCTCACCCAGGACCTGCCCGAGGACTGGGACAAGACCGGAGTCAAGGTGCTGGTCGGCACCAACTTCGCCGAGGTCGCCTACGACACGAAGAAGCACGTACTCGTCGAGTTCTACGCGCCCTGGTGCGGACACTGCAAGCAGCTCGCCCCCATCTACGAGCAGCTCGGTGAGAAGTACAAGGACAGCGACAAGATCGTGATCGCCAAGATGGACGCCACCGCCAACGAGTTGGCCGACGTCAAGATCTCCAGCTTCCCCACGATCACCTTGTACAAGGCCGAGACGAATGAGGTAAGCGAATTAGCGCAAAATTGCTCGCGTCACGTTGTCGTTTCGTTTTCTTACCTGAAATCATGAATTTTAATCGTTTATTTTTTCTCCGATTCCAGGCTGTCGAATACAACGGCGAGAGAACGCTCGAGGCTCTCTCCAAGTTCGTCGAATCCGAAGGCAAAGAGACTCAAGGCCCAGTCGAGACCGAGGAAGAAGACGAAGACGACGACGTCCCACGCAAAGACGAGTTGTAAATTAATTTCGCACCTTTAAGAAAAGACGAAACAACAACAACAACGAATCGCGAGACGATATCCCGGAAAATATTCGCCATCCATCGTCGGTAGTCGTCTCGAAGATTTCTCAAACGCGATGTCGATTATACATATATTTTTTTTTCTATCGACGTGAGCTATATAACAATTTGGCTGTTGTATACATCATCTCACTCAAAGCCTTAACTACACTCACACACACACACACATTTTACATAAGTTCGTGCTACATTCGTTGTGTACATTTTAATCATTGAATTTCCTTGTACAGTTGTCAAAGCCTCCGCGCTTTGTGATTTAATTTTTTTTTATGTAACTCATGTATAACTAATGTTGTGCCGGTACTAACTGCGCGGAAAATTCACTTGAAGAAACAAACCTTGTACGCTAGAAAATATACGCGTCTTCCATCGTTGGCGTGGTAGTTTTTAAGATTTTATTCTTCGTAGCCAGTACTATTATATTTTTTTTTTTTTTTATAAAAAAAAGAAAAAAACGTGAGATCTATGCATTAAAACACTTCGTGAAAAATTGTTATTAGCCATTCCGGTGAAACTCGACAAGTATATTTATGAAAATAATAAAACAAACAAAAAAAAAATTTTTTAACTTGAAAGAAAGTGCGCGAAAGAAAGAGTGTGAATGACTATTATTATTATTACAATATACTAGTTGATTATTAGAATAAGTGTGACATCTTTTTCATTTTTAAATTTGTTAAATTTTGCCAAGTATAACTTAGAGACGGGGTGTGCCTCGTTTATTTTTTTGAATGGACACACACACACCTTTGACAAATTGTTGTAATTCAGAGCGACGTATATACTTTTTCTTTTCTTTTTTTTTTGGACGTGAAAGATATCGACACTTTTTTTTATGACTGAGAGCGCGTTTTTTTCACGAAAAGAATATTGCTTGAGAGAGTATAGTGATACGAATAAACGAAGAACAAGTGGTGCAGACAGACACACATACATGCGCGCCCACGTATTGGACGATAAAGAATACTACGAAAATATGTGAAAAAAATTCATTATTTTTAAGCCATCATAATAATATGTAAACTATATTCTTAATATTTATTCGTTTGTAAAAAATGTGAATTAAATATTATTTTGATATACCAAAAAAAAAGAAACTGTTGTGCTCAATGTTATTCTTCCTCCCCAACATGTGACAAATTACCAATTACCAAAAAGAAAAAAAAAAGAAAGAATATGAACACTGTATACGATATTCGCAGAATGGCACGATGAGCAACGGACACCACCACCACCACCACCACAACAACATCAACAACAACAATCACGACGATGATCGCGACGACGACGACGAGACGCGACCAAATAACGGCCCGCTGGACCTGCAGGATCTCGCGAGCTTCGTCGACTCGATGCTCAGAGCCACCGAGCTGACCAAGAAGACCCTGCAGATGGAGTGCGAGGAGGCCAAGTTCGCCCTGAAGCCCTGGCCGATCGAGTCGACGGTGGTCAGGCAGCTTGATCGCAACGTCTGCACCTGCGACGTAAGGATAAGGATAACGAAGGATTTAAGGTCTTCGTTTTTTTTATTCACGTTTATATCCTTCCTTTGTAGCCCATAACGACGGACGAGAAGGCCGAGGAGATAGCCGCGGAGATCGGCCGGACACTGCTGCACTCGCAGCAGCTGCGCGAGAAGCTCGCGGCGAATCTGTTGCGCGAGCGCCAGAACGCCCGCAAGCAGCCGAGCACGCAGGAGATCTACTCGAGCTCGATGTCGCAGAGCAGTTATCACGGCAACAGACCGGCGGCGGCGGCTGGAGCTCCTGCGCCGGTTCCGCGCACGAGACTGCCAACGGCCGCGCCGATGAACAACAACAAGGAGAACTCCAGACCCGCACCGGCGCCTCGACGCAGTATCTCTCAGGTACGCGGCGGCAGCAATACCGGTCCGAATCAAGCGAGACCGGCGCAGAGACGCCCGAGAAATCGTAGCGTGTCGTCCGCGAGGAGGCCTGCACAGCAGCAATCGACGGCTTTAGAGCCCTCGAAGGACAACGTGTTGGCTCAGATCACGGGATACAGAGCCGCGCCCACGAAGCCCCAGACGAATTTCATACTGGCCAACAAGAGGAGCGCGGCCAGCACCGCGGCCAGATCCACCGCGGAGAAATCTTACGGGACGTTGGGACCGCCGCCGCCCACGATCTCGGCTGCCAAGTCCCACGGAGATCTGAGAAAGATACCCTCGAGTACTGGGTAAATTTTGGACGACAATTCTGTTTGGAAAAAATTCCTGGAGTTTGATTTAAAAGCATCCAGCTAGATTTTATACCTGTATATTTCCACGCGAATTTTAAATTATTCATCTTAGTTATTATCAGGATTGCAAATATTTAATTGAAAAATTTATGTTATTACCCGAGCGATTTCCAATTACAAGAATAAGATAGATTCGTATCCTTGTACTTGGGTTGGTAATTGATTTCAATCGATGAATGAAAATCAGGTATCAATTGAATCTATTTTAAATTATAAGTATAATTTTAGTTGTTGATTTAAAATCAATTGATATGAGAAAATCGATTAGATCGAATTGAATTAATAAATAATTTTAATTCATATCAAATTGATTTGTGCAGTAAAATAGGTTGCATTCAAAAATCAAATGGATTCGTGATTTATTAATTTTCATAGTTCAATTTTACAATCTTAAATTACAACTTCATTTCAAATATCAATCAAAATTATTCACGAATTCGAATCCATTGAATTGGTTTTTAATTTTTAATTAATCTTAAATTAACAACTAAAATTATACTTATAATTCAAAATAGATTCAATTGATTATCAATTAAAATTATATTCTAATTAAACTGATTCAGTCGTTAATTGATTTTCAATTTACTATAGTTATTATTTTATTCAATCGAAATTTTCGCAACTCTGGTTATTACTCTTAAGTTTGTAATTAATACTTAAATTGTATATCTGTACTTAAACAACAATCAATAATGAGTATTTACGAAATACTTGACATTAATCATCGTAGGTTCTTTTTCATACTTTATTTATAAACTTAAAAATAATAACTAATCCGATTAATCTCAAATTAACGTGGAAATGTTATTTTAAATCCAGCTGGATCATACACTTAAAAATCGGCGATTTTTTTCAAGCATTGATTTCTTTAAATTAATAATCTTTTCACCGATGCATAACTTTGATTTTGCAGCGTCAAACCAAGAGCGAGATCGGTAAAGAATCTTCCCAAGGCGGACAACAACGACAAAGCGGCTCCGACGACGCCGCGCGGCAGCGACGAGGTCGAGACCCTGGCCGAGCTCAATCGTCTGATCAAGAGGTTCGCCAGCGAGGCGGACGCCAGCTCGGAGCTGCTGCGCCAGAACTGCCCGCTGCACGCCGACAACGCCACGGGCTGCATCGAGGAGCGCGTCCTGAGTCACGTGGACGCCGTCGAGGGCCTCGATCGTTACGGCGTGCCGAGTCCGCTGCTCAAGTGCCTGAAGATCTATCACGCCTACGTGAGATCCGAGCTCAACCAAGGCAATAATAACGGCAACGGCGGTGGCGACGACGATCTACGCAACGGCAACGCCAACGTCAACGTCAACGTCAAGGATCGTCACCAGCAGCAGGACGATCGATTTTTGGCGCGCTTCGAGGCGGCAGCGCGCCGCAAGAGTCCGGCCCGGTTCTCCACGCATCGGCTGCTGCTCGACGAGCTCGCCACCCTCTTCGGCGAGACTTTTAGGCCGGGCGTGACGCAGCACGAGGTAAAGTCGATCAAGTCGCGATTCATCGAGTTGGACCCGTGGTACAACGAGTGCAGCATCAAGACCCAGATCGGCCACATACAGCTGCACAAGCCCGACCAGTCCGATCTGCCGCGGGAGATCACGGCCGACGCCAAGAACTGGATGTCCAACGGCGTCTGGAACTTCGCCTGTATACCCATGCTGTCGGGTACGCGCGCGCGCCGAGAGCTTTGTTGAGCGGGGTTGCGCAAAATTTCGATTGAATCAAGTCGATCGTTTTTAATTAGTATATAATTTTAATAGATCATCAATTGAAGCAATTTCAAATAATAAATAATTTTAGTTGTTAGTTTAAGATTAATTAAAAATTGAAAACCAATTCAATGGATTCCAATTGATAAATAATTTTGATTGATATTTGAAATAAAGTCGTAATTCGAGATTGTAAAATTTAACTGTAAAAATCTATAAATCACGAAACACAAACAAATCGATTTGATTTATGATTTACATTCATTTTAAATCACAATTCGCTTTAATCGATTTTCACATGTCAATTGACTTTAAATTAACTACTAAAATTATTTATTACTTGTCATTTAAAATAGATTACCAATTGTTCGAATAATTACATAAATTTTTCAATCAAATATTCGCAACCCTGCTCGTAAGACACAACATCGCATAAACGAAAATCAATCTCTGACATCTCTAAATCTTCGCAGGTGTATTCGGCACTCACTGCCTGCGCTACTCCGAGCGCTCCCACCTCCTGCTGTTCCAGGACTTCGTGCAAAAGCTCCAGCGCAAGGTCTACGAGTCGCAGCTCATCGACCTCTTCGTCGCCAGTCTCGTGCCGAAGATCTGTCGCGGCCTCGAGCCGAGCAGTCCCGAGTACGCCCTGGCCTACAAGCTCATGATCGCCATGGTGCAGGTGCTCAATCCCCGGCTTCCTGTGCTGGCCAAGACCGATTCCGACGACTGATTTCTGTTTATTCATTATTATTATTTTATGATTGTGTGTATTTTTTTCATAATTTTTTTTTCGTTGCTTTTACCGATTTTTTGCCAAGCGTTACTTACCCTGCGTTGATACAGCAGGTAGTATTTATGTATAGAATCAAGGCGCGAGGGCGCGTTCGAGAGAATGCATGCCACCGGCGCGCCCTCCTCGAGTATTATTATTATATCGATCAAACGAATCGCGCGCAACTTTGCGTTGTACCTATTGCGAGATAATAACAACAACAATGAAAACTGCGCGTCTGCACTGCCAGAAAAAAGACGACGAGACTGTATCATGTATTCCTATCCTTGTGTCGAATGAATAAAGAAACAGAAATAATAGTGCCTTAATTTCTTGTGCGTTCGTTATTCTCTCTACACACGATCATCGTCGTTGTTATCCCCTCCATGCGTTACCGATTCTCGAATACCGATCGTAAGTCAGAATTATTATAACCTCTCGATCGGTAGCAGCATCGTAAACAACAACGACAAAAATGACGGCCCCCGAGTACATCTACATCAAGAAGCGCTCCGAGTTCGGCAAGCGGGCCTACTTCTCGGACCGCAACGAGATCGAGGTGGACGTGAGGCCGCAGCGCGAGCTCGCCCACGACTTCATACGCATCGATCCGGCCTGCAAGTACACGCAGACGGAGAAGATCATCGCCCTCCATGAGGTATAATACACAACTATGCTTCAAAATGAGCCGCCGCCGTTGTTGTTGCCACCCTATTTTTACAAAATTACAATTATCGTTGCCTGAAGGTCAACACGACGACGGCGACTTTTCAAAATCGGGGCATGCTGCACACGGAGGGCGGCTGGCCCAAGGACATCAACAAGGACGACATCGAGCAGACGGTGCGCTATCGTCGCAAGCTCGAGAAGGACGAGTTCTTTGTGCATACGATGCTACAGCTGATGACGGTATTAACAACGAGGATAAAATTATGTGTCAGAATTTAAAGAGAATCGAGAACCATTTCTGTCCTTCATTTTATGAAAAAAAATACAAATTAATGAAGTAACCATTAGGAGTTACAAGTCAAATATGTTTACGAAACGTTGAATTGTTTTTTAATTGATCTTTTTAAATTTGTGACATTAGGGGAACACACCTGTGCCAAATTTTTAAAATTTTAAAAACATGAAAATTAATTGTTAGCATTGAATTTTTTGTTTTTGATGTAAAAGTATGTTTTTGTAAGTCTTTTTATATTAGCGAACATGTCTCTAGTACATTTTATTATTTAAATTCCTTCAGGCCTCATCTAAAAATGACTTATGATTTCAATAAAAGCCCATGAATTTGAATAGAATCTTTGAAAAATTCTATGATAAAATTTTATTTTCATATTTCCTAATTCATAGGAAAATAAAAGTTTTAACACAGGTGTGTCCCTTTACCCCTACGGAAATTTTTTTCATGAGTAAGTTTTATGAAGTCTAAAAAAACCTTAAAAAGCCGTAAAGAGTTAATAAGAGTTTTTAAAAAACATTAAAAACTTTCATCAACGCTTAATAACTCTTTATAACAATCACGTCACCTGTAAACATTTTTTTTTTAATCGAATATTTTGTAAACCAAATATCAGGTTTTACATAAATTTTTTAAATTCATTTATATCATCTAAAACTCTTAAAAATCTTGGTACAAAATCCGGACATTTACAAGAATTTTTCAGGCTCATTCAGACTTTTAAATAGTTTTTAAGAGTTTTTAATTTCCGTAGGGGTTGATAACAAATATTTAATAATCATTAACATCGATTTTGTGCACTCGTACCCGTGCAGCCGATGGAGCACTGCGTCTTACAAAACAACGCCTGCAACATCTACGAGCAGTACTTCCAGGACATCGAGCCGCGGCCCCTGGTCCAGCAGACGGTCTCGCGCACCGTCAACGTTTATCGCGACCCGCTGCCCACCAAGCGGCCCGTGACGCACATCAGCTGGTCGCCGGACGGCCAGCGCATGGCCGCCAGCCACTGCAGCACCGACTTCAAGCGCGCCGGCAGCAGCAGCAACTACAGCACCATCTCGTACATCTGGGAGGTGGAGAACCCGAACAAGCCCTGGGCCAAGCTGAAGCCGTTCTGTCCGCTGCTGGCGCTCGAGTACAATCCCAAGGACAGCAATATTCTGGCCAGTGGACTGACGACGGGACAGGTGGCGTTCTGGGACGTGCGCCGTGGCAGCGAGCTGATCGAGGCGAGCTCCGTGGAGCACAGCCATAGGGATCCGTGCGACAAGCTGCTGTGGATCGCCTCGAAGACGGGCACGGAATTCTTCAGCGCTTCGAAGGACGGACAGATCAAGTGGTGGGACACGCGCAAGCTGCACGCGCCCATCGAGACCATCGCCATGGATCTGACGCAGCCGGACGAGCAGTCGCTCGACCGGGCGATCGGCGTGTCCTCGCTGCAGTTCGAGCCGTCGATGGGCACGAGATTCATGTGCGGCTTGGAGAACGGCTGGGTGATATCGGGCAACAGGAAGGGCAAGACGCCCCAGGAGAAGCTCATGGTCAGGTTCAAGGCGCAGTACGGCCCGGTGATCAGCGTGGAGAGGAATCCGACCTTCCCGAAGAACTTCTTGACGGTGGGCGATTGGACGGCGAGGATCTGGTCCGAGGACTGTCGAGAGTCCTGCATACTGTGGACGCCGTGAGTTTTTATCTATAACTTGTTTTTTGTCTTGTTATCAGAGGACGATTTTGTCGGGATCGTTCGAAACTTTTTTCTAACTATCTTTCTCTTTTTGGTTTTTGGGTATTAAACAATTGAAAGAAAAATCGCTTAGAATTTAAAAAAACATGACATTAAATACCTTCAGAAAATTATATTCATAGTAACTATGGGATATATTTTTGTAATTGAGAATGTACGATAGCTTGCATTATGTACTTCACTTACTTTGAAAAATTTATTGATTTTTTTTTCCACAAATTAAACATTGTTTTCAAATTTTAATGAGGTAATATTAGAGGAACACATTATAATATTATAAATGAAAAAGCTTAAATTAGTAGTCATTCGATGATGTAAATTAAATCTTTGTGAGCGATGCACCCACCCAATGTGGGCTTCGAGACGTCTTTTTTTTATGTCCTCGCGCATGTATCGTAAGGGTGAGTGACGACTTTATCCACCGTATCAATGTAGTTGCTGAGACGACTACTTCTTCATGAAATTGCAGATTTGTGCGATTCAGCTATGCACCCTATTGATATGAATTTTGAGATGACCTTTTTGTGTGAATGTATTTCCACAAGTATCACATGCATGTCTGACATCGTTATGCACCAAATCCATGTGGCGTTTGAAACTAATTCTTCGTTTATACACATTTCCGCAAATGTCGCAAGCATGTCTGACACCATTATGCACCGAAACGATGTGCTTTCTGAGACCACTCTTGTCTGAGAATGTCTTTTGGCATTTATCACATGGGTGCGTAATTTTATGATGTACCGACTCGATGTGGGTTTTGAGATGACCCTTCTGTGTGAATGTCTTTTCGCAAATATCACATGCATGACAGACACCATTATGCACCGAATCGATGTGATTTTTAAGATGTTTCTTCTCTGTGAACTTCTTTCCGCAAATGTCGCATGCATGACGGACACCATTATGCACTGAATCGATGTGAGTTTTGAAATAACCTTTTTGTGAGAATGTCTTTTGGCATCTGTCACATGTGTGCATGATTTTATTATGCACTGAATCGATGTGGGTTTTGAGATTACCTTTTTGTACGAATTTCTTTCCGCAAACATCGCATTCGTGTCTGACATGATTATGCACCAAATCCATGTGGCGTTTGAAACCAATTCTTAGTTTATACACATTTCCGCAAATGTCGCAAGCATGTCTGACACCATTATGCACCGAACCAATGTGATTTCTGAGATAACTCTTGGTTGAGAATTTCTTTTGGCATATATCACATGGATGCGTGATTTTTTGATGCACCGATTCGATGTGGATTTTGAGATTATCTTTCGTTGTGAACGTCTTTTGGCATATATCACATGCATGTCGGACTTGATTGTGCACGAAATCAATATGTTTTTTTAGATAACCCTTGTGTGAGAATGTCTTTTGGCATATATCGCATTCATGTCCAACACCATTATGCACCGAATCGATGTGTTTTTCGAGATTGTTCTTATATGAGAATGTCTTTTGGCATATATCACATGCATATGTGAAACCCTTGTGGACTGCATTAATGTGGACTTTGACCCAACTTTTTTGAGTAAAAGACTTTCCGCATATATCACATGAGTGGGTAATACCATGATGTATTGATTTGATATGCCTGTCCAAACTTGCCTTATGTGCGAAATATTTTCCGCATATTTCACACATGTAAGTTGGATCATTACGCACCGTACTTTGGTGTCTTTTGAGGTTATGTTCGTTGCTCAACTCTTTCGTTATTTTTCTTGTTTTATTTTGCTCGCCACGTTTACAGTCTGAATTCAAAGTTAATTCTTCTACGGTGTTCACAAAAGATGCCTGTTGTACTTCCTCCGTGGGTTCCATTTTAATCATATTTTGAGTTGCATAAACATTATTGTACTCCATGTCTTTCAAGCCATTTTGAGAATCTTCTTCAATTTTCTTAACTGCTAATAAATTAATGTTGGGCTTGACGTCTTCACACTCAACGACTATTTCCACATCGTCATTAAATTCACGTGGATGATTCAAGTCACTTTTTCGAAAGGTATGGACCTGTTGAAAAATCAAAACTACGTGAGAATGTACTTCAAAAAACAATTGGAATGCGAGCTACGCACAATACTATCAACACTTACTGAATTTTCTGGTGGAAATGGTTGATAGTTTTTAAGATCGGGCTTTTCATCCACCATCTCCGAATTATTTTCACTACGGCACTCGCCACTAGGTTCCTCTTTCATTCTGAAATAATAACCCCAGTAAGATCAAGTATTCTGTAATAATATTTTTATTCATTTAACTCTCGTACAATGAAAATTACCTGGCGGCACAATTGAATGAACCACTGGATTCCACCTTGCTAACTTTGAAACTCTGCTGACAATTAATCTTTCGGCGATGATTTTACATATCTGCAGAACTAACTGTATACACATCGAAAGATTGACGATCACTGCTGCGCTGTGCTCGCTATAAATTATTGTGAAAAACTGTATATGCGGGTTTGCGGAGAGCAGCGCGGCTTATGCGCGACCGACTCGACCTCCTTGTGCGTAACTCAGCGCTCTATGTCGTGAACGCGCGTGCAAAACAAGAGAGATCGTGGACTCACTACTCGCGAGACGTAAACAACAGAACGAGCACTTATACTGCACAGTGCACAGCTTCGAGCGCTTTGAAATATTTTGAAAAGATTCACGCGTATTTTTTTTGAACGATTTTTGTTAGCTTGATGGTTGTCAAGTAGAAAAGAATTGTATTCGTGCGTTGATATAGTTTAACGTTCACTTGGAATGACACCATTCGAATGTAACTTTTTTGAGAGTCAGAAAACATTTTCGAATACAGGGTAAGGAGGTATCAAAATTTTCATTCTGGAACAAGTTATTATTCCACTATTGTTCGCATCGAGTGAGAAAAATGTCAACCGCCGTTTTAGTCTCGAAACTTAATAGTTTCAGAGCCCATTGACGTATAAGATCATTTATTAATAACAATCTGTAAATTTCTGTATGTATTAATCAAATCCAGTCTGACAAATATTCGCTTTGTTAATAATTAATGTCAAAATAATGACCCCAAAAAATTTATTAATATATCAATCTAATTTTTTCAGTAAATGTTAAAAATAACATTTAAATAAGGTTATTTGACTTTCTCTGACAAAATTTATTTACCGCTTTTCTATTCTGAAAAAAAAACCCGATAAAGAAATTATGAAAAATTCAATTTTGTTGTCATACTGGAAAATCGGTGTATAAATTTTGTTAGAGAAAGTCAAATAATCATTATAAATGTTATTCTTAACATTTACCGAAAACATTCGATTGATATTCATAACTTTTTTGGGGTCATTATTTTGACATTAATTATTAACAAAGCGAATATCTGTCAGACTGGACTTGATAAATACATACAGAAATTTACAGATTGTTATTAATAAATGATCTTATACGTCAGTGGGCTCTCAGACTATAACCGTTTTATAGATTTGTTCACGGCAATATTCGTCGTGTTTCGTGACGCCTCGATTTGATGATCAATATATTTTTTCCCCAGGTCTCACGACGTCCTCTTGACGAACGGCATGTGGAGCCCGACCCGCTTCTCCACCTTCTTCCTTACCAAGGCGAACGGCACCCTCGACGTCTGGGACATCATCGTGCAAAAGGACACGCCCGTTCTCAGCATCAAGGTGTATATACACTATACTTTATTATACAACATTATGCATACGCTCGAAATTCGGCAAAGGCAATGATATATTCGGCCCCGAGAAAATTAGCATACATGGCATTTACGATATCGCGTGTCGCACGAGTTTGATAGCCATAATACGCGCGATGTAAATGATCTTGTAAATGTACCACGGAGAATAACGTCGGGTGCGCCGCAGGTGTGCGACGAGCCGCTGACCTGTCTGAGGCCGCACGAGCAGGGCGCCCTGGTGGCCACCGGCGGCAAGAACGGCTCGGTCTATCTGCTGGAGTTCTCGGAAAATCTCACCGTCAACCAGAAGAACGACAAGCTGCTCTTCACGGCGGTGAGTTTGTTTTTTTTTTTCTTGCATCTCTCGATTCTGCTCGTCAAAGTAAAACTTATTTATGTACGAGCGTTGAATGCAACGAAAAGTATACATTAAACAAAATAATCGTAGGTAGGAATAGTTCTGATAGGATAATTCATTGGATACGTTCTATAACTATTCTTATATTAATAGTACTTTTGGAGTTTATTCAATTAAAATTTTTTTTCAAAGTCTAAAAAAACTTCATGCAATTTTACTTTACTATTTTTAATATAATCGCAGCTACTATTTTCATCTAGATCCTGCGCTTTCAAACTTATAATCAAATTTGTTAAGAAAGGATATTGAATGAAAAGTGTATGAATTCGCTCCGAAAATGAAATGTGAGTTTTTTACAGAATTTTTCAGACTACTTTGAAAGAATACAAAATGTTTGATGAAAATTCTTAAATCAATTTACACGTATCCTTTGAGCGATTTTAAAAACTTTTCATACTGTGACATTTTTTCATAAAGTGGATGGTTATCGAGGAAAAATCCACGCATTTTTATATCACAGCCTCGTTTTGTGAAAGTTGTACATGAAAAATGTACATGTTTTTTAGCCAAGTGACCAAAATAATGACCATTAGAAATATTCTTACAAATGTTGCCAATCATTAACTTGTTTTTAGTAATTTTCCCGTAACAATTGTATTACAAATGCATTTCCCAAGATCTAAACATTTACATTAATTGTTTGAAAAATTAAAAATAGTTTTAACCACTATAAATCGATAATACTACTTAATGAATACACCGCTAGATGGCGAGTACCTTAATCTGTAAATCTCCAAGTGGCAAAGTCAAAATAATACTATAATTCACAGTCCGATTTTGTATGGAATTCATGAATAAAGTTTTTAGTTCTTCATTTAGTAAACCTTCAACGAGAAAATTTCTTTTGATACAACTTATGGTATTATTTGGCGCATCCGAAGGGAAAAAACGACTTTACTTTAGGTAGAACTCTAAAAAAAAAGTCGAAAAATTGTAATATTTTCTGTTTTACCGTGATTCGATGTTTATGTATCGCAAAACCAAAACTAGATTCAGAAAGAGCACACCCTTGAACCGTTCAGTAGGGATTTTCGAAAAAAGATATCATTTAAATCTATGGTTGTTAACGATTGAAAATTCATTAACAAAATGAAAAGTTTGAATTTTATAGAAAAGATATTATTCTGCGCTGGGGGCGATATGTAAGCAAGCATAGAAAGCAGCAACTCAAAAAATCAATAAAATTGAACGTCCTACAAGCTACAGAAAACATAAGTCGATCCGGAGTCGGTATACGATCGATCCGAATTATTAGGTTGCAGCCCTTCTAACGTTTCGGGATCAATTTATATTTTTGTCTCTCTTACTCGCGCATATGTCCATGTTTTATTTACACAACACAATATCCCTCGCTACTATAAAATTTCCCCGGACGCCTATACGTGTTCAGATCGTAGCGTATGCGAATACCGTCAGTAGTAGTTACGACGCCGCAGCGATGAGAACAAAAAGATATCGCATCGTTTGCAACAATACACAGTAAAAAATTGTCAACTATTAATTATAAGCGATTGTGTTTTCGCGAAAGTGTGTGTGACGATAGGCAACGACATGAACTGTTTGAAAAATTTGAAAACCTCTCCAGAGGAGGTCGACTTGAAAGAGCAAACCGAACTTCTCCATCGATTCGACAATATAAGCAAGAAATTGATAATTTGTCGAGAAAAAGTCGATTCGGAGGTCGAAGAAAAACCATGCGAACTTCTCGATCAACTCGCCACTTTAATTGACAACTGGCAGGGTGAATTGCCAGATCTTGGACATTTTTTTCGCCGCGACGATATCGACTGGCTTCTCACGCTGGCTGTGAAAGATTTAAGGGTAAGATCACATTTTCGTCGAGGAAGGCGAATCATTGACTTTGTTGCTCGCAGCGGCTACAAAGACGAGCCCGACCTGGATGAAAACGGCAAGCCATCGTCGCGTCGCACTACAGCTATTCACTCGATCAGAAGGTCCAACTGGCTGCATTTATTTATTGATTCGATCGAAAGTCTTTTTAAAATATACGACAGATTCGACGTGAATTATACCGACGAATTTGGATGTAGCCACTTTCACGTGGCCTGCGAGAACGGGTATACGGACGCCGTCAAAAAATTTCTCGATCTCGGCCAGGATCCCAATCTGATTGAGAAAGAATCGGGTAAATCGCCGCTGTACATGGCTGTGAAACATCACAGTGACGAAGTCTCCGAGATACTGTTGAAAAGAGGCGCCAATCCGATTCTGGCCAACAGGGATGGCAAGACTCCTCTGCACGCCGACGTCCCCAAGCGTCTATTTTTCAAGATGAACAAAAGCATGTGTCAAAGATTACGGGTCAATGCCCGGGACAAATTTGGCCGAACACCACTGCAATCGGCTGTGGTCTGCGGCCACAAAAGGATGGTTAAATGGCTGCTAAAATTAGGTGCCGATCCTAATCTGGCCAACGAATGGGGGTGGACACCTTTGCATATTATTTGCTGCAGGAACTACGACGACGGCTTAGCGGAGTTATTTTTCAAGATCTGCGACAAATTAAATCGGCCGGTGCATATCGATGCGCGGAACAAGTTGGGCCAGACCCCGCTACACTTGGCTATGTCCTGCAAGAAAGAGATGTTCGAATTGCTGCTCAGAAGAGGCGCAGATCCTAATTTAGCCGATTTCGAAGGATTGACTCCTCTGCATTTTATAAGTGATAGATACTACGGTGACGAATATGTCAAGATGTTCTTCGAATGTAACGATGAATTACATAAGCAAGTGCAAGTCGACGTCTGGGATAAAAAGGGCTGGACACCGCTTCAATTAGCTCTACTTCGAGGCAACAAGAAAACGACCGAAATTTTGATGAGGCGAAGTGCTGATCCTAATTTGGCCAACGAGGACGGATCGACCCCTTTGCACAGTATTTGCAAATATTATTGGGATGACGATTTGGCCAAGATGTTATTCGAGATCAGCGACGAGTTAAATCAGGTGATACAGATCGATGCAAAGGACAAGTGGGGTCGGACGCCGCTTCAATTGGCTGTGGCGAATCTCATGCCGAATACCGTCGATGTGCTTTTGGATCGTGGCGAAAATCTGTCCAGGTTCGTTTTTCCAATTGAGAGTGATTTCGACGATGGCTTTAAATTTACAGAAGCACGACGTGAAAATAAATTGAAGCTGACGTATAGACTGATGGCCGTCATTCAACGTCTCGAGAGAAGAGGATACGAACTGGATCGAGGCAACGCTCTGATCGTCATGAAATTGTTCTCCAAGTACGGATTGTTCGAGAAGTCGACGAATCTCGCAAAATGTTGGTACCACGACGAGGAGTTCGCGACGGAAGCCAAAGAAAAAATGGTGAATTCAAGCCTGTCGATCTATGACTTGATCCGACTACGACCCGAGGAGGCTGAAAAACGTTGCACACATTTAGAGTTCTTCGAGATCGCGTATTCATTCCAATGGTTCCTCGTTCGAACCGAAGATTCTTGTGTTTTGCATCTATGCGAGAAACTGTCGAGAGGATTTTTCCGGCGTTGGGCGATATATCCTTTCTGGGATCTGATTCACCATCGCCTGCCAATTGAGTGCTGTGAAATGATCCTAGAGCCACTAATGAACAAAGATTTATATCATATTTGTCTGGCAGTTACAGGACAAAGCTAGTGATGGTGATCAGCATATTTGTTGTATTTTTCGTGTTCGGTGATAGTACATTTCGAAAATTTTTAATATCATTCGAATAAATGCATTGAAAAAACAATTGAATGCATGAATCGACTTGGACTTAACTTTAATTATTTTTTAATTTTCTATTAGTTCTATTTACAAAAAGTAAATAGAAAATGTATATCTTGGAGCTGTTCTTATGTAAGTAGGGTATTAAAGGTGGATTTAAAGTGCAATGTTGGAGGCATTTCAACTACATTTTAAATAAGATGAAGCTCGTTTTTAATTCTTTGATGTTCTAGTCTGGAAATAGAGGCTTTGAGAGGACACACCTGTGTTAAATCCTGTATTATCCTATGAATTGAAAAACATGAAAATAAAGTGATAAAATTGAATTTTTTGTTTTGGATGTAAAAGTGTGTTTTTTCAAGTCTTTTTACATCATAAAACATGTTTATGGTACCTTTTATTATTTAAATTAGTCTAGGAGCCATCTATAATGGCTTATGATTCCAAAGTCCTGTGCTGCATGTATCTGAATGGAATCTTTGACCAATTTTGATCGTAGAGGTCTTATATTTTTCTAATAACATTCTTCTTTCTCAGAGATCCCCAATTATATTTAATGGCAATATATAATTACAATGTCGATTAAATTTTTAAAATACTTATTATTCGAATTTGATACTTTTTACTATCACCGTTTCAAAACTGACTCTAAAAATGTATAAATTCAAAAAATAAGCCAAACGCTGAAAATAGATTGAATTCGTTCATTTAACTCATTTAATTCGTTTGAACTTAGAGTCAAAAAAGTACCTCAGCCCTATATTAATAGATAAAATTACATTACTATTCAGGCTTCTAAGTGTAAGCCTTTCCGTTTAAAATTACAACTCTGCTAATAAATTTTCAATTGTATGCAAACCGTAGATGAAGTTCAAATTTTTTCTTGAAAATCCTTTTCAAAAGATTTTCGGATTTGTTATTTCTTAATGCAGTATAAGTTTTGCGATTATTAAACATTATCACCGTTTATTTTCCATTTGAACACAAGAAAACGTAATTTTCAACTCAAATTTTCGCTCGATTTTCTACTTTCTTTTAATAGAGGACTCAAATAACACAAAAAGTCGTGCCATTTCCGTCCACAATTTTCAAGAAGATTGTTGTTGTGATTTTTATCTAGCTCCTACGTCGTCAAATTCACTCATTTCTTGCAGACTTTATAAAAAAAGTGTACATGAATTCATCGAACGATT